TAAGTGAATTTAGCTCGGTCCTTCCTCTTCGATTTCGTAAAAAGAGGTTGGGAATATCTTTCAAAGTTTTCTTCTGACTGTCCTTTTTTCTTCCATTCTTCGTACACACGACACACCTTCGCTGAGGCCTTGCCTTTTTTCCTGTGCCTGTCAGTCGTCTCAAGAAATGTCTTTCTGTCAGTCTGGGGACAGTGTTGTCTGATGCATGTCTACCAGGCTGTGTCACTCTTGTCTCACCTGTAGCATATTTTGCAAACAGGCCTTCAACTAATAATATTCTGAAGGACAAGTGTTCAATGTTTGTCTTAGTGTTTTGTCTGGAAAGTATAAGTGAATTTAGAACAGAAGCATTCAGAAGTCTTCTGAACAATTTGTGGTACCATTTTCGCATTCTTTTTCTTTCAGTCAGGTACATTTGGAGCATCTGATCTTTCATGTCAGTCCCTCCCATGTTATGGTTATAGTCTACTACAGTCTTTGGTTTTTCAACTTCTTTTCCCCTTACTGTCACTTTTGTCTGTGAGTCGTCATGGTAAGTCGAAATCATGGTTACAAGCTTCTTGTCACACCATTTCATTACTGTCACTGGTCCGGAATGTTGACAAATTGTCTCCCCCTTTTTCAGTTTTTTTGTCTTTACTTCAGTCGGAACATTCTTGCGGTTTAGTCTCAAAGTGCCTACACAGTCTGTTTTATGGCTTTTCAGAAATTTAGCAAGAGCTGGACTATTGTAAAAATTGTCCATCCACACAGTATATCCTTTCTCAAGTAGTGGTTCAACCAGGTTCATTACTATTGCTGTTGTTTTTAGTGTAGTGGGTGTAACATAAGATGATTGCATTTCTGTGTCTCTGCCTGTATACACTACGAAGCACCATAAATATCCAGAGGTAGATTCACACAGTTCAAAAGTTTTGATACCAAACTTTGAAGACTTCAATGGGAGGTACTGTCGAAATGATAGTCTTCCTTTCCACAGTGTCAGAGATTCGTCAATAGCAATGTTTTGTGTAGGAAGATAGATATTTTGATATTTATAATTTAAATGTGACAGTATAGGAAAAATTTTGAACAATCTTGCAGGGCCTGTGTAATTTGATTTGTCTTCATTATTATTGAAATGTAGAAACCTACATATAATTTCAAACCTGTCCCTTGAAATTACGTCTCGAAACCCAGGCGTATTCAGAATCCTACGTTTCAAAAAATAAAGTCTGGTTGTAGGCTTTTGTATTATTCCCATCAACATAAATAAACCTAACATGACATATATTTCATCTATTGTAACTGGAACCCAAGATCTCACAGAAGAAGGAAATGAAAATAAGTTGCCTCTATTGTTTTGGTATTGTTGTGCATACCTGTTTGTCTCGTGAACAATATGATCCACTAAATCCCTACTAAAAACAACTCAAAGCAGTCCACAATGTCACTAGCATCTTTTCCATCATTTTGCGGCCCAGAAATATTACAAAATTCTTCCCTTCTGCTTACATAATTGCCCATATTTTCCCATTGAAGAACTTCAACTTCTTCAGTCTCTTTGATGTCTTCATCATCTCTGTCATTGACAATTGCATCTACCACTGCAATATCATCAACATGATTTGAACCAGAATCACTACTTCGTAATTCATCTATTTCTGAATCACTTTCACCTTCTTTTTCTTTTTCTTCTAATTCTTTAATTTAATTTAGTTCGTCAGGGAACGGACAAATCTTCGTTACTGGCCTTCGGTAAGACCCCTTGCTGGTCCGCACAGTCACTACCTGAACTAGGCAATCAGCCCCAGGATGGGTCTCCTCAATGATGCCTGTCGGCCAGGTGAGAGGAGGAGCGTTATCTTCCTTCAGGAGCACCAGCCTTCCTGGTCGAAGATTAGGCTGGTTCTGCAACCACTTGGAACGCTGCTGGAGCTGGCCCAAGTAGTCTGCCAACCAGCGCCTCCAGATGAGCTGCCGGCACCGCTGGACCAGTTGCCGTCTTGACAGACGTGAGGATGGCCCGACATGACAATCTGGTTCAGGGAAGGACATTAAGGGCTCACCAATAAAAAAATGCCCCGGAGTAAGGAACACACAATCACCAGGACTGCTAGGTATTGGAATGATGGGCCTAGAGTTCATGCATGCCTCAATTTGCGTGAGCAGTGTGGTCATTTGTTCGAATGACAAAAGAGTGTTACCAGCTACCTTCTTGAGGTGAGTCTTCACCGATTTGACACCCGCTTGCCACAGTCCGCCGAAGTGAGGGGAGTGGGGGGGGATTAGATGCCACTCCATCCCTTCTTGAGCTGCGTATCTTGATATAGCTGAAAGATGATCCTTTGAGCCTAGCAGTCGAGACATCTTGCTCAGCCGTCGTTTCACTCCGGTGAAATATGTGCCGTTGTCACTGTACATCTGACTGCAGCACCCACGTCTTGAAACGAACCTTCGTAACGCAGCAATGAAGGCTTCAGTTGTCAAGTCGCTGACCAGTTCAGTATGTACGGCCTTAGTCGCCATGCACACAAACAGTGCTATATAGCATTTTTCTCTGGGTTCTACTTCAAGGATTACTGTATTTCACTTGCAAGGGCCCACCATAGTCCACACCACAATGGGAGAATGGCTTGCTTGGTGTGACGCGAGATACAGGCAGCTGTCCCGTTAGCTGCCTGGTGGCCTTGGCCTTCGTTTTGAAACGTAGCACACTTTCGGATCACTTGTCTGACAACCGAGCGGCCATCAGTTGTGCAGAATCGCAGTCGCAGCGAAGCTAGAAGAAGTTGGCTTCCAGCATGCAGCAATCGTATGTGCTCATTCCAGATCAACAGTTTGGTGACATGATGTTTGGATGGTAGGATGAGGGGGTGTTTCTGATCAAAGGGTACGTCAGCGTTCTCCAGTCTACCACCCACCCCCAACAGGTTGTTCCCATCCAGGAAGGGATGTAACGTCAGAAGCTTGCTGTGAGAGGGTAATGCTTTCCCTTGCTGCAAACTCTGGATCTCCTGAGCAAACGATGAGTGCTGTGTAATGCGAGCAATGACAATCAGCGAATTGTGAAGCTCGGTAGACGTCAGTGGTCTGTGCTGGCCTGATGCTGCACCTTGTTTCAGCTTGTAGAGGAACCTGAGAACGTAGGCAAAGACTCTTTGTAATTTTGCCCAACTGGAGAATCGCTTGAATGAGGCTTCTATCTCTGAATAGACGGTAATGCAGCATAGCTTTACTCCTCGCCATTCAGGAACCTTCTCGGGATCTGCTGGGGGCTGTGCTGGCCAGGAGGAGGGATCCTAGCTTAGCCAGGAAGGTCCCACCCACCATAGCTGATTGCCTTGAAGTCGTCGTGGGTCCGTTCCTCTGGAGATGATGTCCGCAGGGTTGTCCTGTGATGCGACATGTCTCCAAGCTTGGTAAGTGGTTAGCCGTTGGATCTCTGAGACTCTGTTGGCCACATATGTTTTCCAAGTTGACGAGCACCCAGCTATCTAGGCTAAAACAACTGTGGAGTCCGTCCAGTAAAAGCGTTGAACAATTTGTAGGTTGAGGGCCCTATGCACCATATCTACTAACTGGCTTAACAGAAGGGCGGTGTTCAGCTCCAGTCTTGGGAGCGACACCTGCTTCAATGGGGCCACTCTTGATTTAGAACATAACAGATGAAGTGTGATGGTTCCGTTTGGGCTTGCAGAACGTAGATAGACACACGCCCCGTAGGCTCTTTCTGAGGCATCGGCGAAGCCATGAAGTTCTACAGTGATGCTTGTGCCGTCTGCTGTGATTCTTCTGGGTATACTAATCCTGTTGAGATCAGGCAGCCGTTGGTGAACTTCCTCCCACCGTGTGGCAAGTTCTGAAGGCAATCTCGAGTCCCAATCCAGCTGTCGTTGCCAAAGGGTTTGAATGAATAACTTACATTGTACGATGACAGGTCCTAGTAATCCGAATGGGTCGTATATGGATGCTACATTAGCCAGCACCATTCTCTTCATCCATGTCACATTCTTGTGCCTGCTGTCCACCACACTGAATTGGAACAAGTCACTACTGGGATACCAGTGCAGTCCAAGAGTCTTCACTGCACCCTCGTCAAGAGGAAGATTGCAAGGTCCCTGTGTCTCCTGAAGTGCGGCTGGAATGGCCTCCAAAATGTCTAGACTGTTGGATCGCCACTTCCAAATAGGGAACCCTCCACTCTTGAGCAATGATGTGACGTCGTCATAGAGCTGGATAGCTTCGCTAACAGTGTCCGTTCCTGTGAGCAGGTTGTCGACATAGAAGTCATTCTTAATTACTTCAGCTGCAGTCAGTTGCGTAGGTTGACCGTCAAGTGCCACCTGTAGTAAACATCGTGTTGCCAGAAAAGGAGCTGCAGCGGTTCCGTAAGTTACGGTGGTCAGATGGTAGGTTTCTAACCGTTGACTGGGATGACTTTGCCACACGATTCTCTGGAGGTCTCTGTCGTCCTCATGCACTTGAATCTGTCAGTAAATTTTCTCCACGTCTGCAGTCAATGCGTACCTGTGTGTGCGACAGCGTAGTACTAAGGAGAACAGATCCTGCTGGATGGTTGGTCCTACCATCATGAAATCATTCAGCGAGAGTGACAAGGTGGTTTTTGCTGACGCGTTAAAGACTACTCTAACCTTGGTAGTGCTGCTTGTATTCTTTACTACCGCATGATGAGGCATGTAATAGCAAGACCGATGCTGGTCAGTAGGGTCGACGAGCTCCATGTGCCCCAGTCGCAGGTACTCATCCATAAACTTGACATACTCATTCTTCAAATCTGGGTTTCTCAGTAATCTCCTTTCCATGTACCCAAAGTTCTGGGTGGCAGTGGCAAGGGAGTCCCCAAGTTCTTCAACGTCTTGCCGTAAGGGTAGCCTCACTCTGAATCTGCCTGCATCATCACGGGTAACAGAGTTTGTGAAATGCTCTTCACACATGCTCTCTTCCTTGGACTGGTGGCGTGTCGTCAATTCTTCTTGCAGCCAGAAACGTTCCACTTGTGCATGCAAGTCGTGAGTTGTGGTTACCAATGAGGTTGTTGCCATCTTCCGTTGTCCCACGGAATGTGCAGGTATATGTCCTGACAAGACCCAACCAAATTGAGTATTCTGGAGTGCTGGGTGGCCCTGCCTAGATTCCTGTTCTGGCCTCAACACTTCAAAACATACAGTTGCACCTAGCAGTAGATCTATGGCCCTTGGTTGGTAGAAGTGCGGATCTGCAAGAGGAATGTCGGTGGGCAATTCCCATCCTTCATAGTTGATTCTTGACGGTAATGAGCCAGTGATCAGCGGCACTACAGAACATACAATGCGGTTGGTGTAACTTCTGATGGTGGATTCAATCTGTAGTTGTCAGAAGTGAAGGGATTCCGTTGCCCGCACGTTGCTTATACCATTGATGGGCACAGAATGCCGATTTAGCTTGAGGCCCAACCTATCCGCTAGGTCTCGAGACACCAGATTCATTTGAGAGGCACTGTCCAGAAGTGCTCAACATTTATGATTTCTACCTTGACTATCCTTAACATTGACAACAGCGGTAGACAAAAGAACGTCCTTGTGAGGGGAAGCGCCCCTTGATGTTGCAACAATGTTGTCTGTATACTGCTCAACATGTAACGTGTGATGGGGTTTGTTGTGATTCCTACAGCTTCCTGAGTTGCAGCTGTTGGCTCTGTGGTCACTTCGTAGGCAATTGTAGCAGAGGTTATGCTCCCTTACAAGGCTGATGTGGCTATTGACGTTCAGGTTCTTGAATTTCATGCCCTTGTGCAGACTGCGAAGACGCGCATAATGGACAGGGGGGAGGGGATGTGGTGACAAAGGATCATCGCTGTCCTCTCAAGCTTGTCCCACGTTTCAAGTCCTCCTGGGCTCCCACAGCACGATTTCCAGGGACTGGCAGTTACTCTGCAGAAACTGAATTAGGTCCTTCAGGCTGGGGTACACTTCGCTTGAACTACTATTCTCCCACTGCTTCCTAAGATTTAGACTGATGCGCTCCAGTACCAAGTGGGACAGTATGATTTTGTGTAACGGTGTTTCGATTTCAAAGTCTCCACTGCATTTAAGTTGCTGCAGAGTTGATTGATTAGTAACCGCAGCTCCTTAGGAGAATTGTGCCTTGCATTTGGCAGAGTCATTAATTCCTTGATATGTAGATCTGAGATGAGCCGTGGATTATGGTACCGACCACGGATCAAGTCCCACGCAACCTTAAAGTTGTCTTGAGATACAGGCAGATTTTCTATGAGATGGTGTGGCTCTCCAGAGAGGCATGATAATAAGTAATAATATCTCTGAATGTCTGTGAGCGCATCATTACTAATAATCAGTGCTATAAATGTGTCGTAGAAATGCATGAAATCTTGCAATGCACCACTGAATTTAGGTAGGAAAATCGTTGGAAGCTTCACTATGGTATTATTAATCACTCTTTCATTATTGACAGATAGGGGCGGAGAAGGGGGTTCGGTGCACAATAGGGTTTCCATTCTCGCTTCGAGCTCTAGGCACAAATCATCGAACGCTGCCCCATTGGTTTCGTGCGATCCATCCTCAGGTGTGTTGATTTTCAGCTGTAATTGTACATCATTGTATTCGTCCACCAGGCTGGACAGTAGCCGCCTCCTAACCTTGATTTTGTTCAGATTGCCACTGACTTCCCACGCAATTACAAAGGAGCTTAAGCGAGTCACGCGTGATTTGATGACTGCTCGTTTCTTGATCAGGGCACGTTTCTGATTGTTGTCCATGTTATCCCATGAAATATGAAGGACGGTTTGTGATTTTGAACCAGATTGTACTTACCGGGTCATGGCTGTTGGCAGTGCGTCACTGCGGCCCCCTTGCTTCGTTGGATAACGAGCACAATGCACATTGCCAAGCTTGCACAATCGTTTAGATTAGTTGCAGTTTTACTGACAATCCGGCCCGGAGGACCAAAAAATGTTGTGTGCTGAGCAACATCTCTCTGATAGCTCCTAAAAGTCACGGACTGTATTTAAACACCTCTTAATTTAACTTAATGTACAGCAACCAGTTTCCACTTGCATGCTTCCTTTGTGCCGCCAATACACGCTTCCCCACGCTCACCCCTAGCAACCATCCTGCTGCTCCCTGGCGAGCACAGGCACCACCATGCCACAACCTTAGAGGTGCCGCCCTCAAGCGGCCAAAGCTCCAATTACTTAGAATGGCTGCACTCAACACTTACAATGGAAAGCAGAAATCTCACCCTTTAAACTTTCTTGCAAAGTAGCTATCATTTAAGCTGACATGCTGTCAAGCATGGCTTGTACAGAACTGGACATGGTGACGGGGTTGGTAGAAGGAACCTCTACACTAGCCTGCTCTGTAACTCTCACATCACATGCGCGCTTTTCTACTTCCGTACTCACACCTTCTGACTCTGTCCTATCTGCACCTCGTTTTGGCCTAAAATCACGACATATTTTTCTTGCACTCTCTCTTTCTGTACGGATGCGAGGTCTTCCTCACACACTCCTGACATATCTGCGTCTCCTTCCAACTCCACAACGCGGCTGCGCAGAGCACGGTTCAGCATAACTGCACACCACTGACTGACCTTATTTCTGTGGCGCTGACCCACTGTTGCTGTCCGCAAGTGAAGTGCGGCTCTGTCTATCCTGCTTCTCTTGTTGCTATGGTTCAGAATCCCCAGTGCTGCTACCCTCGGATCTGGACCTTGCTGGTTGCTGGGTTCTCAGTCTCGCAGATAGTTGGACTAAGCTGGCAGTCGTCCGTTGTATGTTGCCTTCGTTATTAAATTGTGCGCTCACGTTGGCTGTGCCACTTCTTGTAACTGTCCCCTTTCTATCTTTGTATTTATTTGCCGGGTTTGGTAGAACACTCGACTCTTCTCAGGATTGTGTCACGGTAATAACGGAGGCAATGGGGAAACTTATACAATTATTGCAGAAGTTATGGGAAAAATTGTAACTCCTGCCATTGATCCCAATATCAGTGTCCATACTACTGCTGTTCCGATGGCAACATCCAGACGTTGGTGTTTCTCACTGTTTATCAGGAGTAGGCCGATGACGAGGCTGATAAAATTGTCCAACATACGGGCAATCATTAACCATGTGATGATGTTCATTATTTTCATGGTCATTGGAAGAGAGTGGGCCATTATAAATAATAAAATCCATATGAAGAGGAACACTATTTGGTCAAGTTCATGGAGGTCCACTACCCCTATCAACATTGACAGTGTGAATTTCGTGAAGCTCATTGTTGCGGACGTCAGGAATTTGATCACCATCGCATTGTTCAAGGTGAAGTAACCCATTAACGCCAAGAATATATCAATCACCACATTACTGAGTTTTTTGAATGACATCAATGTCTGTGCTGCCTCTTGAATGTTCCTTCTTATCGCTTCCATTTTCTCTGTTATTGTCACTTCTACGTGGATCGAATTTTGTTCTTAGAATCCACGTGGCTCAGATTCTGCTTCTTGAAGATGGCACACATCAAGTTCACTTCAGTGGGGTCTGTGTGTTTGCAGAGAGGTCACACGGGCCGCAGTAACTGTGGCTGGACACCTCCTTCTGCGCTCAGTTGTTGCCGACGCACTGTGCGCAGCCGTGTTGTGGAGTTATCAGGAATGTGGGCTGATCGATAAATTGTTCCCTAGAGAATTCTTCCACCTGTCATCATTTGCTTTGTAGAATGGAAAGTGTTCTGAAAATATATTGTCACATATTAGGGCTCTGCATGACTTATAAAATGGATTCTGGATTTGATGATCAAATTTATTGGACACTCTCAACTTCATCTTCATGCCCCTGCTGCTTTACCCCCAGGGAAAGAGCCCCCAGTACCCATTGAGTAGGAGGTTGGGTAGACCCCAGAGCCAGTCTGGATGACTTGGAGAAGAAAAAGTTTTTGTCTCCAATGGGACTCGAGCTCTGACCCTTCGCTTTTGTAGCCCATAGCCAGTCACTATACTGACTGTGCTGTCCTGGCTCCATTGATAATATTTAACAGAATTTAATGTAGCTGATTGCCCAAGATTTGTGCAACATTTTGGGAGGAATGTACTTGTCTTCTGTGAACTGTGAAATGTATGGACAGTGAGAATAATTAGTAAGAAATATAAATCAAAATAAATGAAAGTGTTTTTATTTATTTATGCTAACAGAACCTTACTGTAACTTACAGTTTACTTATATCTAATCCTGTGTAGTTCGCTTCCTCACTACGTCATTATACTCCTCCAATGTTAATAGTTCTTCTCTCTGTTGATTACTATTGTTAATGCTAGGTAGTAAAATAGCTATATAACCTTCTGCATCAGGCTTTTCAATCAGTAACTTTGGGTTTTCTATCAAGGCATCATTCATTTCCACCAATTTTCCTTTTATGCAGCTCTGTACTGTGTACTTTGAGCTGTCCACACATTCAATGTAACACAGTGGTGAATCTGGCTGCAGAAACTGTGCTCCATGCTTGCCTTTCCCAGAAACTTTGTTCTTCAATCTGTCAATATTATGAGAAACTTGAAAATCAATTTTTCTTATTTCTTTCTTCTCTTTTAGTATGGGGTGGGATAATGCTAATGTTATTAAGCAAATTCTGTTGGAGTGAAAAAGAACACAATGATCTTCCCCCTTCTTTCCTCCACCATCAACACAAAATCTTCGAGTGTAGTACCGCTCTGTCACAGACTGGAACACACTGAACTCTTCTATGCTGTCCTCAATGGGAGCTATATTCATGTGCTCAGCCTCTGCCATGTTGGAATCATGAAGACATGTTACTGAGAATGTGAAGCTCTGACTTTCTCCTGCATCAGTTGAGCCTTCTGCTGATTCAATTTCCGCTTTTGTTCTCTCTGAAATATAATACATCAAAAGTGGAGAATTTAATGTACTGTAAGATCAGTGGTCAGCGTTCCTGGCTACAGATCAAGAGGTCCGGGTTCGATTCCCAGCGCTACCAGATTCTTTCTGAGAAGTAGTGGGTCTGGAATGGGGTCTACTCAGCCTTGTTATGATAATTGAGGAGCTATTTCAAGGAAATAGCGGCTCCGGTCTAGAAAACCGAAACTAACGGCCGTGGGGATTTGTTGTGCTGACCACATGACACCCTCTATCCGCAAAAGTTGGCGCTAAATTTCACCAACAAGTGGCGGTCGCTCGGTCAGTAAAGTTCACTTGCGGACTAAAATAATGGAGTTTGTTTGTAAGATCAACAATGCCGTATGAGTACTGGAAAGCTTGGCATTTCTCAGACTAATATGTACCATAAACAACCACTCTTTTATTTTGAATCTGATATTCTCAGTGGTGACTGAAGAACACCAGCTTCTAGGATGTGATGCTGTATAGAGAAGTTCAGTGATGTTTACAAGAATGTCCTGCCTCCATCTGTTGTTCATGGTAGCCAAGCGGTCTAAGGTATTCACTGTCTTTGCTCACTCAGAAGCCAGGATCGTGGCTTTGAATCCCAATCAGGGCATGGATGTTTAGTGTTTGTGTACAGGCAGAGGCCTTGTGATGAGCTAATCACCCACCCAAGGAGTCCTACTGAATGTCTACGATCTAGTAAACTGAAGTGAAGGGAGAGTTTCATGGAGGTAGGCCAAAGCCCAAATTGGGGCTGTAGGGCCAAATGAAGAAAAACCTGCCTCCATTTGCAGGATCAAAGAGTAAGCCGAGTACATAACCAGTGAGAAGCAGGTGGCAAGTGGCTCAAAGCCAGGTGTTGTTGGAGCAAGGAATTTCTGACCACATGAGTTCATACCTCAAGCCTTGCAGGACTGGATAATGACAGCTACCAAATTAAGAGTGGAAGTAAATCAGCCCTGAAGATGAAGCACAACAAACAAAATGAACTCCGTGATTTTTGCCCGCAAGTGAACTGTACCAACCGAGTGACCGCCACTTTTCAGTGAAGTTAGTGCCAACTTTAGTGGATAGAAGGTGTCGCGTGGTCAGCACAACGAATCCCCACAGCCGTTAATTTCGGTTTTCTAGACCAGAGCCACTATTTCCTTGAAATAGCTCCTCAATTATCATCACGAGGCTGAGGTGGACCCCTTTCCAGACCCAGTACTTCAGAGAAAAAAATCTGGTAGACCTGGGAATCGAACCCAGACCTCTGGATCTGTAGCCAGGAACTGTGACCACTAGGCCACAAAGGCGGTCAGAAGGTGGAAGATGAAGTACAGTTCTCCAAAATGTTGGTGAATGTCTACCAGAGTACATGGAATCACATCCCAGAATATAATACTCTTCACTACGTGTATTTTATTATTAATTAAAATATCTATTCCCACAAGAAATAAAGTGGAACTACATTTTTAGTTACATAATTTTGAAAAGACCCTTTCAAATGCAAAATAAGCATTTTTATCTCAAACTCCACTCCCATCGAAAGTACATACGATCAATGAAAATGAAGAGCCATGATGCTGGAAATAGTAATGTATGGTAGCTAATCTGGATGGATATTTGTCATTCAAAATTACTTGTTTCCAAAAGAAATTGTTGTCACATTTCTGGCATTCTTGAGAGATCAATAGATTCTTCAGTTATTTAATGATGCCTTTCTAACTGCATAGGTTATTTAGCATCATTTATGAGGATAACTGAATAATGAACCGTGTATGTGTGTGTGTGTGTGTGTGTGTGTGTGTATATATATATATATATATAAAACTTGTTCCAACAGGAGTATCTACTGTTTATGAAGAAAATTAACTGTATGCTTACCTTCTTAAATAGCCATTATATTAAAATAGAAGATGACCTTAATGTCATAAATTTCATGTTACACTCTAGAGTAGCCTTTCTCAACCAAGGTTCCACGAGAGGTCGCTAGGGGTTCCGCAAGAGATAATGAAATATATGTACATGTATATACATATAAAACATTGTGCTTTCATGTTCACGCTTGTGTGTCAAACAGTATGATAAATAAAGATGTACTGATGACATGTCACGTGATGCTGAAGAGGTTCTGCATGATAAACTGAAAAATAACAGTTTCTCTATCCAGGTTGATGAGTCAACAGATTTCACCAATAAATGTCATGTTGTATAATTTGTAAATGATGGTGAAATTGAAGAAAAATTTTTTGTTGCAAAGAGCTGCNTGCTGATGACGCTGCTTCCGGCACCAGTTTTTGGTGTCTCTCTTCGTCTGATGCCTACCCTTTGACCTGTCCAGCAAGGGAGGCCCTGCCAGTAGCTACGCTACCGCTGGTATAGCTCTCAGGGTCCTTGGCATACTCAAACCCCTTCACCACGATAAGGTGGAGACACCAACGAGGGGGTGTCTCCATATCTGGAAACAAAAGCTCTGTCTTGGGAGAACTGTGTAGGAATCTGTACTGAAGGTGCCCATCAGTGGTTGCCTCCATTAGAGGTTTCACCTCTATTGTAAAGAAAGGAAAATCTTGATGTCACATCACACTGGTTTACTCACAGAGTGGTTGCGCTGTTTCAAACATTCTTGGAAATTGAATGAAAGAAAGTTTTGGATGATGCTACAAAAATGGTTAACTTTAACCTGGACAAACAGCACATACATGTAAATCTCCTGCTAGGTACAGAAATCCGGTGGCTTTGCAGAGGAAGAGTTCTCAAGAGGGTGTCTGAGCTGGAAGGTGAATTGCAGGATTACTTTCAAGAAAAAGTTGGCCCGATTTTGCAGGGTGCTTTGAAGATGAAGAATGGCTGGAGAAACTATCCTACTTAGCAGATATTTCATCACATGAACCAGTTGAAGAAGTCTCTGCAAGGCCCTGGAGAAAATGTTTTGGCAAGACAAATGTTTCCACTGCTGCTGGGGCTTCAGAGTGAAGAAGGTTATCAACAAGTCTGGTCTTATTGGAAACCATCTTGAAAAACTGTGGAACATAATTAAACATTATTTTCCTTCCCTTTCAACACAAGTGTATGGCTGAGTGAGATCCCTTACTCTGAACCATCTTCTCAGCCTGAGAACTTGACTTTAAGAGAAGAGGAAGAACTCTGTGAGATGCAGTCTGATCATATACTCAAGATGAGATTTACTGACCTATCGCTGAACGAGATCTGGACTTCTGAGAAAGAAGAGTATCCTGCATTCAGAGGAAAGCAATAAACATACCGCTGCAGTTTCTGACCTCTTGCATGAGTGAGCAAGCTTTTTCTTGTTTGACAAGCATCACAAGCAAAGATAGAAATCTTCTCAGTTTAGTTGAAGATGAACCTCATGCCCGCTTATCTAAAGTTAGATCCAGAGTATTTGTACAGCAAAAAAAAAAACAAGTTTCATATTAAAGAACAAATTTCATTCTTTATTTTAATTTAAAAAATAACACCATTTTAGACAACATTTTTGTTTATATTGCTTTGATTTATCTTATGGTTTTCAGCAACCTTACTCTTCAACACTGTTAATAAATTTTCTTGTTGTAAATAACACTAATTAATCCATCTTTATATCAGATCTGACACTTACACAATGGAGTCGCCCGTCAAATAGTATAAAATATTAAATAATAAGATACAACATAACGGGCTTCCGAACATCACATCGGCCACTGTGTATATAATATGTCCGTATAAATATTATATATATTACAATTACAACTGCCAACTTCCAAGTACGGTCATATATACAACTTTTTAACTGTACTTTTGACTGTGTAAATGGTTATTTTAAGACTTCATTACATTTTATATTCACTCATATCATTTTGTACCATTGTATACATTTGGAAGTTTAGTATTGTATTTTATTTTATATTTGACATGCAATTCAATAACAAAAAGTTTAATGTATTTGCCTGATGATGCCCTCTTGAAGGCCGAATCATGTAGCAAAAGGATCTCCTAGAACTACTTACACATATTATTGATTGTTGTGTTGTGACGGCTTTTAGTAAGAAATAAATAATTATGATCAATGTCAACCTTTATTTACATTAAATTCAGACCTTGCCTTTATAATAATTTTTATGCAGGGGTTTCCTGAGACTTCAAAATTATTTCAAGGGTTCCTCCAAAGTAAAGAGTTTGAGAAAAGGCTGCTCTAGGTATAAGAGCCTCTCATAATGAACTTGATAACATTCTTTACTTACACAGCAACCAACATGGGATCAAAAATAACAGAATCAGGAAGTTTCAAGCTCTTTTTAATGACTACATTGTACATATACAAACATTAAGAAAGAATGTCATCCAGATTTCAAGATTTTGTGTGGAGTGCAGGTTAAAATACAGAATAGAATTTGCATCTGCTCACTATGACAAAATTAGGCCATTCATGCACAAATATTTAAGACTGTAATGTCATGACAGAGGAGCCAGGGTAGTGTAGTCCTTATAGTGACTGGCAATGGGCTGGACTGAGTCAGAGTCAGAGTTCGAGTCTCAGAAGGGTCAAGAATTTTCTCTTCTCCAAATTGTCCACACCAGCTCCGGGGTCCACCCAACCTCCTATCCAATGGGTACCAGGGACTCTTCTGTCGGGGTAAAGCAGTTGGAGTGTGAAGCTGACTACTCACCTCCAACAAGTGTTAAGGTCAAGAAAATGTGGATCTATATATCGACTCCCCCATACGCCTTCAAGGCGTAGTGCCTAATTTGTTGAGCACAGGGGCAACTTTACCTATGTCATGACAGTCATGTGATTATGTGTACTTTCACCCTTCAAATTTCCAGTTTTTATACAAGTGGATAAAGGTTTAAATTAGCAGATCAACATTTCTCATATGAATTGTACAATATATAAAATTAAATTTACATAATTTCTGTTGCCCAACCATTTTCTGAGTATGTCATAATTCCTAACGTGAAAGTTACGACAATGTACCTACCAACATACCGTAATATTTAAATATATAAATTCTGTGGTATGAATACCTCTCACCTCTCTTCGTAGACACTTTATAAGTTCTCTGTCGGCATCATTGCAGTAGCCAAGGAATTTTCCGAATGAGTGCTGGAAAAGACATTATTTTATGTTCAACACCGAAATGCACGAGAAGTATTTCAGAGCACTAGGTTTTTCAATGTGGAAATTCGTACCTCTTTATGGCAGTCTTTAAGCAAAGAAATCAATTTATTACATTCTTCTGAGTGTAAATGCGGTGATAAATCGCTATGCATTATAAAATTAAACTTATAAAAACAAGAAGTATTTTCATACGCATTGTCATAAACATTTAGCATAAACTATCCCTCGGTGCTTTTACCTCGTGCGTTTGTTATGCACACCATTAGGCCGCAATAGGGTTTCTGGGTATGTGGTTGGTATAACTGCAATGAGTAGCTTAAGCCGTAGGAAAATTCTGTATGTGTGTGATATGTACGTTTGTAAGTGGTGGTATAGTACTATCGGTTCAGCTGTATTAATTTGTTTGGGTGTTGGAAGCGATACGAGGACTGAAAGAATAAATACATACAAGTGCTTATTACTGAGATTATTTTGTGCTATCTAGTAAGTATATTTTACGTACAATTGAAGAATCCAGTGCGTGTAAACTAGTTGATCATCATCCTTTTTATTGCTTAGTTAGTTACCGTGGCCAGTAGCCTCACTTTTTCCTTCAAGGTCTCAGTGTGTACTGGATACAAACGAGTTCGTGTTTAGTACGCCTTATATTAAAGCCACATTTTAATTGAATTAATAATTTTGGTCTGTGCATGATATTCCAATTGCATTTGAACTTTTGGATATTGTATTAATTTTGCTCTTAATCAGTGTGTTCAATTTAAATTTTCTCTTCCATAGGTGCACCATGCCGAAATTACCATTTACAGCAGCACATCTCTCTCAGCTAAATGGCTTCGTAGATTTGTGCAAAAACGATCCCAAAATACTTCTTAGCCCAGAACTTGCCTTTTTCAAAAATTATATTGAATCACTGGGAGGCAAAATACCAGCAACTCTATCTGAGACTGATTTTGAATCTCCGAAAGCAGACATACTTGAGCCTGAGCCTGAGCCCGAGCCCAAGCCCAGAAAGGCGAAAGAGCCAGAGGCTCAACCAGAACCTGAAGTTGAAAGTGAAGAGAGTGACATTGAACTCGACAATTCGGGAATCATTGGTAGGCATTTTGATCGGTTCATTTTCAATGGGTAAGGAATTAACTGGCTGTGATACACATGTGTGGAATATGTTTGAGCCATGGGAGTTTGTTGTTGTGGTCTCACCATTCTTTATGTCACGAAAATTGGTACCTCTCATGCTGTACATTCATGCCATGCCATTTACTTCTATTTTAAATTTGTTTTATTCAATTAAAAGCATATGCCAGATACCTTGTTCTCAGATTGCACATATCATCTGTATTTCATTCACTATTCAATAGTGTGTGGGTGTTTGTGTCCATGTCTGTAAGTATTTGTATCTTTATATTTACAAAATTAGTATGAAATATTGGTTACTGAACAGTTCCAGCCCTAACATTTTGTTATTAATTGGTAGCTTCGCCGACAAGCGGTGGTCGCTCGGTCAGTATAGTTTGCTTGCAGACTGAAACCACAGAGTTTTTTTTTGGTAGCTCTTCTAACATATCAGAGTAGTTTGTAGAACCCATTACAAGTTTGTAAAATTTGAAGTTTTCACACCGGTGACTGTGAAGACTGCTGTCTTCCTGGATTGCTCATATAATATAAACTGACATTTCGGAAGAATGTATTGCCACCATCTTTAGGGTAGAAAAAAAGAAAAAATAAATAAGAATATCAGATATAAGATATCAGAGTAGTTTGTAGAACCCATTACAAGTTTGTAAAATTTGAAGTTTTCACACCGGTGACTGTGAAGACTGCTGTCTTCATGGATTACTCATATAATATAAACTGACATTTCGGAAGAATGTATTGCCACCATCTTTAGGGTAGAAAAAAAGAAAAAATAAATAAGAATATCAAATATCAGATATAAGATATCAGAGTAGTTTGTAGAACCCATTACAAGTTTGTAAAATTTGAAGTTTTCACACCGGTGACTGTGAAGACTGCTGTCTTCATGGATTACTCATATAATATAAACTGACATTTCGGAAGAATGTATTGCCACCATCTTTAGGGTAGAAAAAAAGAAAAAATAAATAAGAATATCAGATATCAGATATAAGATATCAGAGTAGTTTGTAGAACCCATTACAAGTTTGTAAAATTTGAAGTTTTCACACCGGTGACTGTGAAGACTGCTGTCTTCCTGGATTGCTCATATAATATAAACTGACATTTCGGAAGAATGTATTGCCACCATCTTTAGGGTAGAAAAAAAGAAAAAATAAATAAGAATATCAGATATAAGATATCAGAGTAGTTTGTAGAACCCATTACAAGTTTGTAAAATTTGAAGTTTTCACACCGGTGACTGTGAAGACTGCTGTCTTCATGGATTACTCATATAATATAAACTGACATTTCGGAAGAATGTATTGCCACCATCTTTAGGGTAGAAAAAAAGAAAAAATAAATAAGAATATCAGATATCAGATATAACATATCAGAGTAGTTTGTAGAACCCATTACAAGTTTGTAAAATTTGAAGTTTTCACACCGGTGACTGTGAAGACTGCTGTCTTCCTGGATTACTCATATAATATAAACTGACATTTCGGAAGAATGTATTGCCACCATCTTTAGGGTAGAAAAAAAGAAAAAATAAATAAGAATATCAGATATCAGATATAAGATATCAGAGTAGTTTGTAGAACCCATTACAAGTTTGTAAAATTTGAAGTTTTCACACCGGTGACTGTGAAGACTGCTGTCTTCATGGATTACTCATATAATATAAACTGACATTTCGGAAGAATGTATTGCCACCATCTTTAGGGTAGAAAAAAAGAAAAAATAAATAAGAATATCAGATATCAGATATAAGATATCAGAGTAGTTTGTAGAACCCATTACAAGTTTGTAAAATTTGAAGTTTTCACACCGGTGACTGTGAAGACTGCTGTCTTCATGGATTACTCATATAATATAAACTGACATTTCGGAAGAATGTATTGCCACCATCTTTAGGGTAGAAAAAAAGAAAAAATAAATAAGAATATCAGATATCAGATATAAGATATCAGAGTAGTTTGTAGAACCCATTACAAGTTTGTAAAATTTGAAGTTTTCACACCGGTGACTGTGAAGACTGCTGTCTTCATGGATTACTCATATAATATAAACTGACATTTCGGAAGAATGTATTGCCACCATCTTTAGGGTAGAAAAAAAGAAAAAATAAATAAGAATATCAGATATCAGATATAAGATATCAGAGTAGTTTGTAGAACCCATTACAAGTTTGTAAAATTTGAAGTTTTCACACCGGTGACTGTGAAGACTGCTGTCTTCATGGATTACTCATATAATATAAACTGACATTTCGGAAGAATGTATTGCCACCATCTTTAGGGTAGAAAAAAAGAAAAAATAAATAAGAATATCAGATATAAGATATCAGAGTAGTTTGTAGAACCCATTACAAGTTTGTAAAATTTGAAGTTTTCACACCGGTGACTGTGAAGACTGCTGTCTTCATGGATTACTCATATAATATAAACTGACATTTCGGAAGAATGTATTGCCACCATCTTTAGGGTAGAAAAAAAGAAAAAATAAATAAGAACAAGAAGGGAGGGAGAGTATGCCACATGGGAAATCATTAGAGAGCAGAAGGGAAGGGTCTGGGAAGATGGGCGAGCAGGTAGCAGGCCAGAGCAGGTCGTGTCGGGAGGAGGGGGGAAGTTTAGCGGGAGAGCTTTGACCCAGTAGCCTCAGGGCTAAGCTGCCGGCCGTGCATCCACCTGCGTAGCCTTGTGGATGTGGCGTAATGTTCCGGAGGTTTCCTGAAGGAGCAGATAAGAGGCTTCCATGACTTGCTGAGACAAAACCCAACTTCTCTGTTCATGCTGATGGGCCGGAGCTCAATCTCAATGGCCCCCACTAAAGATGTGATCCATGTATTGGATCTTGGTGGCGAGGATGGAGGTATTGTGAAACTGATCACAGTGTCCCAAGTTGATCCCGTCTTCAGCCATGGCTGACTTGTCTGGATCCAGGATTACATTTTCTCCAGTCATTACCACTATCTTTATAATTATGATATTACTGCACAGAACCCAATTACCTGGTTTGTAAAAACAAAGCCAGAAACTGACCCTTGTGGACTTAACTGTTGGAGAAGCGGCCTCCGTAGTCTAGTGGTAACGTTCCCACCTCATGACTCAAGGTTCAAACCCGGCGGAGGTCGTGGAATTTTTAAGGGCGGAAAAATTCAGGGAACAAGTCCTCTGGGAGGGACTTTAAGCCGTGGGTCCCGTGTCGTAGCTTTACGGCACGTAAAAGAACCTCATGTCTCAAGGAGACCTCTGAGTCAAATTGAAGGACATTTCCTGCCCAACAGTAGTCTCTAATGCCTCTGGTAGATGGGGGAAGCATCTAGATACCGCTGAGCCAGTAGAGACCGAACTCGCTGGCTGAGTCGGGACTGTTGGCACGCACCAGTACCGGTAGGGTGTAGAGACTGGTAGAATATCACGGGGACGTACAATAGATCAAACTGGTCGCGGTGCATGGGGAAACCCACCCCCTCCAATAATAATAATAAAATAATAATAACTGTTGGAGACAGATTCAAGGGTTAGATTTGGTTTTTTTTTTTTTTAAATATGTGTGTAAGGTTGGTAGTAGTAATGTGGTTGAGAAGATGGTGATGAAGTTTTAAATCTTACTTGTGTCACTCATTAAATACGTAAGTACTAGAAATAATCTGGATAATTCCATTAGTCACTGAGGCAAACATCTCATTGGTTCAACATTCAGTGAAATCCATCTACAATGAACCCTTGGATTGCATGTGGAACCCGTGCGTCTTTGGAGCCTTGATGTCTTCATGTGACCTAATTTTACAGAATTTTAGCACTTTGAGGGTGATGATCATGTCCAAGCTTGCATATTTGTTTCATTTGTACAATCCTCATATGTACAAGTACTTTGTTCTTCAGGCAGTCCTCGTGTTCAAATCCCATATGATATTTTGGCTCCTGTAATTTTTAAGTGTAGAAATCTGTGTACAAGATTTGTAAGGCAAAAGTTATCCCTGTAACAGGCCATGGAGGCCCATAGGGTTGTGAGACATTGAGGCTCCCACATAATCTAGACAGTGAACTCACAGATATTGGTAAGGTTGTCAGCCTTATGCGCCAGCCACCCTTTACCCCCCAGGAAGATTCCTGGTACTCATTTCTGTTAGAGGCTGAGTCGACCCGAGGCCCATAGTGCAGTTGGAAGGATTAGGTCAATTGAAAAATAAATCCACCTCGTCGGGACTTGAACCCATGACCTTCTGGCTTGTAGTATAGTGTCAGGATTTGTATGGCTTGTTTATATTCAATCAAGTAGTCACTTAGCTGATCTAGAAATCATAGGATTTGAGGTTTTCACAGCAGTGGTTATGAAGAACTCCATCTTTTGGGACATAATGCTGTGTACTTGAAAGTCAAATGACTTTTGGAGCAACATGTCCCCTCCATCTTCATGGTTGAAGAATAAACCAAGCAAGAAATCAGCATGAAGCAGGTTATAAGCAGAACTTGCCCTATTCTTCGACCTGAAGATGGAGGTGACATGTTTCTTTGATATGTCAGTTGACTTTCAGTGGAAGCACAGCATTATATCTCAGAAGACAGAGCTCTTCGAGCTAGAAATCCTTTGCCTTTTATGGATGGAACTGGGGAGATTATTACTATGTTGACAGGAATCTGCAAAAATGATGTTCTGGTTATTTAATTTTCTTCTAATTTAAGGAAGATATACAATTAATGTTGAAATAGTTTAATTTTACACATAACACAATGATATGTCTTGTTCCAGAACCAGATTTCGATGAACCACAGGCTATGGGTGGTTCTGATAAAGAGGTCACAGAGGAAGATATCGAAAAATCAGATGAGAAGAAGAGAGAAGCAATTGAAGCCTTTGCTGCAGGGGAATTCCAGAAGACAGTAGATATCTACACAGAAGCCATTTTATTGAATCCAGGTATGACTATCTGGACAATACATTGCTCTTAATCAGAATTTCTTAAGGGAATAAGTTGCATCAAAGTTCATTCAGATCCACAGCTCCTAAGACCTTCTGTGTTTCACCATTAGGGCCAACCCTGACGATGGATTTTCATTTTGTGCATCCTGTTGTGTTTATTATATACAATTCTTTATTGAAATCAGTCATAACACAACAACATAACAGTCAAGGTCAACATTATTGGAATCCGTTGTAACACAGCAACATAATGGTCAAGGTGAACATTGTTGGAATCTGTCGTAACAACAACTTAACGGTTAAGGTCAACATTATTGGAATCCAACATAACACAACAACATAATGGTCAAGGTCAACATTACCTTAGCTACATGTTTTGGCTTTTAAAGCCATCATCAGGCAAAATACATGGTTATATTCAGACACTATTGAGCTCATTTCGTTGTGACAGTAGAACTCGATACTTGACAACTATGTAACACTATAATAATACATCATCATCAGTAATCTGTCAAGACGACAGGTCCACAGTCTCTTCCAAAACAATTCCTCCATTTAATGCGATCTAGAGCTTTCTCCTTCAAATGACAGTATCCTCTTCTGTCCCCAAGGTCATCCAGCATCTTCTTACATCTTCTTCCTCCTCTTCTTGTCACTTGTATCCGCCCCTCTATCTTTCCTTTGATAACTTCTTTTAGAAGGCAGTTTCTGCGTAAAACATGACCAATCCAATTAGCCTTCCGTTTTCTTATTTCGTGTAGGATATTCCTCTGCTCGCTGACTCTAATTAACACTTCTTCATTTCTCACATAATCGGTCCAACAGATCTTCTCCATCCTTCTCCAACACCACATTTCGAAACTTTCCAGATGTTTCTGATCTGCTGCCCTAAGTGTCCATGTTTCAGCCCCATACAGAGCTATGCTCCAAATGCAGCATTTCACTAGTTTCTTCCTCAACTTTAAGTCCAATTTGCTGGTAAATTATTCTTCTTCTTGCTAAATGCAGCTTTTGCCAAGGCAATCCTGGATTTAATTTCACTAGCACACCTTCCATCATCTGTTAACAAGCTACCCAAATATTTAAAACATTTCACATTAATTATTATAAAATGAAAGTTATATAATAAAATATGGTTAAAAACTATTCATGTGATATTTCATATTATGAAGTCAGTTGTTGCAATCTTGTTGGTATATTCCCACGGACATAATGGTATATTCAAGACTTGTATACACATAGTAAACTGCTTGGAGGGCCATGGTATAGATGTAGTATTATTTGATATTAATTGTTTGGCCGGTGCCTCATTTTACAATGTATTTTGTCCATTCTGGTGGGAATACAGATTACAAGATACATATAGCTAAAGTTATGTTGACCTTGACCGTTACATTGTTGTGTTACATGTAGCTAAAGTTATGTTGACCTTGACCGTTATGTTGTTGTGTTACGACAGATTCCAATAAAGAATTGTATCTGATGATGGAGATGAAGTAAATCTCCGAAGCACTGATCTTAAACTCAACCTTTGCACAGTCACCCATCTGAGAAGATATTAGTGCTTTCATTACGTCATTGCATTCAGTTAGCATGAAAGCTTACTCTCTTACATTGAACTGGTTTTGTGTGTGTAATGTGTACATGTTGTGTATATGTTTACGTTGTTCTTTGTATGGTAATTTTCATGACTTTTCAATTGTCTATTATTTAGTCAGTCTCTTTGGCTGAGGCAGCTCTAATGCAAATATGCTAACTGAATCTAATTGACTTATGGGATGTTAAGGGTTAAATTTGAAACTTACCATCTGAAGTTACTAGATGTAACATGAATTTTAACTGAAGTTACTCAAGGTCATTCAGTTCTAATAAGAGCCATTATTTTTAGTTAGAAATTTAAGAACACAGTATTAATAAACAGCTGTTATTTTAGTAAATGATGCAATTTTAAATTGATATAGTGATGATGAAGTTGTACGTAGAGCCATTTATTCACTTTCCTGAAAGTGTCAGGTGTAGTCCTCTAACTGGTCTTCACTAAAATGTAAGTATGGGTCTTACAGTCTAGTCGTACACATTTATGTTCCGAAATATGGGAGAACTCTGCTCATTTTTAGGTTACAGCTCAAGGGTTTGATTGTTTATACTTTATTATTATAAGTGCATCTTCCATTTGGTCCAAGTGCCTTTGTGCATTTGTGATCAGCCATAGAGGTGAATGTTTTCCCCTCTCTGCGTTGACACGTTCTGATTCTATATGGCTTTCTATGTTATTGAGAAATATAATGATTAGCATAAAAAGCCCATTGGAATTCTAATGGGAAGTTGTTAAACTTAACTTTGCCAAAAAAGACCAAACCTCAAGAAAAAGGAAAGTTCTGAAAAGATGTCATTAAACTCAGATACTAAACTCGATGGAATGAAGATATGCATTGAATGGTGCTGCCATCAAGAGGAATCAAGTATGACTTTTATTTCTATCATCTGCTCATGTCCATAACTACTTGGTATCATACATAATTAAAAAATGTAGCAACAAAACAGTGAGAGGAGGGACTTTATGTATGTGGATATTACCATTGTCATTTGTAGAAGTCAGCAGATTCAGTTTCTGAGGTACTTTGTTCTCTAAAATACCAAATGATGGACAGAGTCCTAGAACTCAGTAATCCTATGTTATACACCATTATCAGAACTCTGNCTACCGCAGAGTTGTACTGAGTCAGTCAGCGAGTCCTGGACCTATCGTCGAGTTAGCCAGCAACTAGTCAGTTGTATTGTGGCATTTTTCAGTGTACTATTTGTGATACTGCAGATAGCAGTGATCGTCAGATTGTAATTTGGGTGATTGTGAGAGCGGATGTGAAATAAAATTCGCTACATCGAATACGTCGAGAATTTATTTGTCGCGATATAAGCGCGATACGCGACAATATGTTACTTTTATTTATTGTTTCCTAGAATTTAGTCAAAAATTCTTCCCCTTCTTCTTTGCTCTAAACTCCATTTTGTTCTTGGCATATCCGCTGCCAGCTCTTGATATCTGAAGCTGTTCATGGTTATCATAAGCAAAAACTGAAACTAGCTTGAAAATAAAAGTGAAGAAAGGCATATATTCCAAATTACACTTATCATAGAGAGGACTAACATGAAACCCTTAATGGTATATAGTGTTATTGAAGAGCACATAGAAATTAATTTTGTATCTAGGATATGAAGTTTTCATAACAGTGGTTACAAAGAGTTCATTCCAATGGGATTTAGCACAGTGTAATCCATTGAGGAGAATATTTGGACCGAAGAGAGATGAAGTGACAGGAGGTTGGAGAAAACTGCATAATGAGGAGCTTCATAACTTGTACTCTTCTCCAAGTATAATTAGAATGATCAAGTTAAGGAGGATGAGGTGGGCAGGTTATGTAGCATGAATAAGGGAGACGAGGAATGCATATAGGTTATTGGTGGGAAAGCCAGAAGGAAAGAGACCACAGGGAAGACCAAGGTGTAGGTGGGTGGACAATATTAGAATGGATCTTAGAGAGACAGGATGGGATGGTATGGATTGGATAGATCTGGCTCAGGATAGGTACCAGTGGACGGCTCTTGTGAACACCGTAATGAACCTTCAGGTTCCATAAAATGCTGGGAAATCCTTGAGTAGCTGCAGAATTGGCGGCTCCTCAAGAAGGGCTCAGCTCCATGAGTAAGTAAGTAAATCCATTGAAAGTCAATTACATTTTGGAGGAACATGTAGTCCCCATATTAAACGTTAAAGAGTAAGCCAAACAAGAAAGTGCATGAAGCAGGTGGCAAGCAAAGGTGACATGTACCTGCTACACACCATTTGTCTTTCAGCAGATCACATGGCATTATATCCCAGAAGATGGAGCTCTTTATAATTCTGTACAAACGAAAATAATTGTATTATTGTATTTTTACAGGCTCTGCTTTGCTCTATGCTAAACGGGGACAGTGCTTTTTAAAATTAAATAAACCAAATGCTTGCATTCGTGATTGTTCGCGAGCACTTGAGATCAACCCAGACAATGCAGCTGCATACAAGTTCCGTGGGCGAGCCCATCGTCTGCTGGGTCAGTGGGAGGAAGCAGTACAAGACCTGAGAAATGCTTGCAAAATTGACTTTGATGAGCAAGCTGATGAATGGCTGAGAGAAGTGACACCAAATGTAAGTACTGAAATCTTTTTTCTTTCTTTCTGTGTCTGAGAAATTCCAAATAATATCGGTCAACTCTAAAATTAGTAGACATGTGGGATACGGGTTTGTCAGCTTAAGGAATTTTTCCAATTTTATGGTTTTTGGTGCTTAATTTAATTTGTTTGAAATATGGTTCCAGCTTGCAAAGAAAGAATGAATAGTAATGGAGAATTGTTTGGAAATTCAGAGTACCTTATTATTCTTCTGTTTGAAAGGGCAGCAGAAAGTTTGTGAATGTGTTGTTTTATGAAAATTTTGAATAATATCCCCCCCACCACCAATAAGTGCATTATCCTACCTAAAATGTCTGTATGCCACTCGTGGAATCTATGCTTCAGGACCTTTCCAACACAATTTTGATTATCGCAATCCTCTTCTTATTTAGACAGATAACATTGGAACCAACATTGATTTGAGGTTTTCCCTGACTTCAGTTCCAACTATACCATGGCAGTAAACTCAGTGTTAAGTCTGCTCCTTTTTAAGATTTTATTAAGTTTAATGTGAACATCAGCTGCTTCCCAGAGAAATCTTAAATGGGGTTTTGCTATGTGTAATTTTCAAGAAGTTTTGTACTTGATCTTGATGTCATGTTGTACAAGCCCCCAAGGTGGCCCTATTGGTTTCTCAGCTTCAAAAATTTGGGCTTACATTGGTGTCAGTATGCAAACAATTCTCAAAATTCCTAAAGAAATTTTTAAACATGCTGGCCTCTGTCATATTACAGTGATTTGTCATGGATTGAGCCACAGATATTGCTGTATGAGTTGAATTCGCCCACTGTAAGGTTAAGATTATCTTTGACACATTTTGATGAAACTTTATTTCTCAAAAAATTTTTTTTGTACTAATGTATTATATATGCTGATTACATTTGCTTTAACTTATATTAACCATTGAAGCTTATATCCTGAGTGTATGCTTATGGAAGTAAGACAAGTCCAGTGACATCCTCTGTATGTGGCCAGCAGTAGCAGGCATTGGAAGTAATTGTCATAACTACTTGTAAAAGTTGACCTTGAAACCTTTTGAATTCACTAGGTTTTTTTCCTTGCCTGAGATTTGCCTACTGACAGCTGTAACTTAAATAATAGCTCATGTTGAGTAACATTAGTTAACATTTTTATTAGATTTAATAACCATAGGTCATGACATAGAGATTGGTAACAGGTCCTTTGAAAATGTGGCACAGTTCATATATTTGGGAACAGCAGTGACAAACCAAAATTTGATTCAGGAGGAAATTAAGCGGAGACTGAATTCGGGTCAGGCTTGTTACTGTTCAATCCAGAACCCTTTGTCTGCTGTCTGAAAACATAAATTAGAAAAAAGAGAACTATAATTTTGCCTGTGGTTCTCTATGGATGTGAAAATTTGTCTCTGACATTAAAGAAGGAACATAGACTGAAGGTATTTGAGAACAGGTAGCTGAGGAGAATATTTGGACCGAAGAGAGATGAAGTGACAGGAGGTTGGAGAAAACTGCATAATAAGCTCCATAACTTGTACTCATTGCCAGTTGTAATTAGAACGATCAAGTCAAGGTGGATGAGATGGACAAGGCATGTAGCACGAATGGGGCAAAAGCAGAATGCATATAGGATATAGGTGGGAAAGCCATAAGGAAAGGGACCCCTTCGAAGACCAAGACATAGGTGGGTGGATAATATTAAAATGGATCTCAGTGAGATGGGATGTAGTGGTATGGACTGGATTGATCTGGCTCGGGATAGGGACCAGTGGAAGACTCTTGTGAACATGGTAGTGAATCTTCATGTTGCTTAAAATGCTTGGAAATTCTTGAGTAACTGCATGAATGGTGGCTTCTCAAGAAGGGCTCAGGTCCATGAAGTTAGTTAATAACCATACATAAAATCGTACACTGCCGTACACTGCATCAGTGATAAGTTGGAGGTTCAGGTACATTTATTTCCATAAGATCTAGTTTTCCTTGGATGATTCTGTTTAAAACTTGGAATAGCTGTGAATGTGGCCGTAATTTATGTTAGGTACTATCCCAACATATTCAACTACCAACCACTTACCTCACCACATCAAAGTCAGATGTTGGATTCAAAGTAATGGGACCTAATACTTTGTGTAGTCTATGAGATTCGTGATCAGAGTTTCTGGCTGCAGATCCAGAGGTCCCAGGTTCGATTCCCGGTGCTGCCAGATTTTTTGAGAAGTAGTGGTTCTGTAACAGGGTTCACTCAACCTCGTGAGGATAATTGAGGACCTACTTGAATGGAAAGTAGCTGCCCCAGTCTAGAAAACAGAGGTTAACAGCCATGGGAATCCATTGTGCTGTCCACGCGACATCCTCTATCCACAAAAGTTGGCACTAACTTTACTGACAAGCTGCGTTCAGTTGGTCGGTATAGTTCGCTTGTGGACTAAAAGCCACAGAGTTGTCAGAGTTAATGGTACTTACAATATTAAAAAAGTTAAAAAGGTTAAGTTGGCCCTGTGCTTAATTAAGTTCCATGCCATAAGACGTATGGAGGAGTGAAGTATAGCTTCAGCATTTTTGACCTCAGCACTAGAGGGAGGCACCCATTGTATAGGGTATACTTTGCCTGTTAGTTATACTTTGAAGTGTGTTGAAATGTAGCAACTAGCATTTTCAGTTATGATTACTTCAGATATTATTAAAACAAGCCTAAAGAACTGAGTAAACAGAATGGAGAATGAAATCTTCAAGCACAGTATGGATGTGTTGGAATTGAAGGATTTAAAAATTTAATGTATAGATTTATAAAGTAGAAAAGCTACAGCTGCAGCTTGAAGCCTCACAGCTTGGGAGGCTTCAAAATACCGAGAAAGAAATCATCCGTAAGACAAACAGAATGTTCTCATTGAAGGATAACAGGTGGCTCTCTGTGTCTTGTCAGATTTGAATAATGGAAACATCACACATAGACAGCTGTAACAGTTGGAAACAAACTGGGAAGCAGCCTCATTCCTTTCAGGCACATCTGCTTGATTGTTGCCAAGTAAATAGCTTTTGCATAATTGTACAGTTCAGCATATATGTGCTTACACTTTGTTATCTGTTAAAGAGAAATTACAGGGCGTCATCTTTATTATGGCTTAAGGTGGTGTGAAGTTGCAAGCAGGCCCTGTATAAAGTTGTAGGAAGATGAACAGTTTCTTCATACAATTTTGCATATGCCCCATTTAGTGAAATTCTTGATTTGGTCTAAGAAACGCTATTTCTGCATAGAACTGCTGAACAGGAATCTTACGCTAGTAATGCAGGTGCTTTGAATTGAACTTTTGATAAAAGGTACAAGGTAAAGTTGTCCCTTTGCTTAATTAATTGAGCACAACACCATGACAGTATATAGCTCCACCATTCTTGACTTCAGCATTAGATTGAGGTGAGTGGTCAGGTTCACACACTGGCTGCTTCACGTCTGGGGCAACAGCCCTGGCATGCATTGGATAGGAGGCTGGTTGAGCCCCAGAGCCAGTCAGGATGCTGCAGAAAAACCCCGGCCATCCATTTTGTAGCCTGTTGCTATACCGACTGAGCTGTCCCAGATTGCAAGCTTTTGGTAATGACCATGACTGGGTATCAAGTACACAGATGAAGACAGACACATTTCCATTTATTTAAACAAACACGTCCATTCTTATGGATAAAATTTACACAGATCCATTTGCCAGTGTTTCACATGGCATGAGTAATGAAACAATCTAATATTTACCTCATTGGAATTAGCTTCAACAGGCAAAGGAATATGTATTTGATGCAATATACTCTATCTGTAACTGCATTCTTCTACAACTAGTCTGTTTTATTGACTTAAAAATACAGTATTCTAATTGTTTTGCTTCATAATTAGCGGGGATTAAAAATCATTTGAGTTTATAAAGAGCTTGGACATACATAAATTGACTGTGGTCATTCTCCTTTGGAAAACGCAGCCAGTTGTGCCCGTTGCTCACCATCAGAACTTTGCTTGGCACTTAAATGTGCATCATTTCAATTTCTCAATTTTCTGTTTCAGTGTGGGAAACAGTGCAGTTTCAGTGCAAAGTATGTGCATCTTCTAGCTAATGATGCTTTTTGGAACACTTAAAAGTTTGATGGTGAACAACCCACTCAGAAATTTGAGTGGTGCATGCATGAACCAAGCACAAGTTAGATCAGTTTAGCACCACATTTATGCCAACTTTGATCACTTCACTGGAAGGTAATTTGTTGTATCCCTTTTCATCTGTTCTCCTCCTCGTTTTTTTTTCTGGTTGGCGATCTTGTGAAACACTTACAGAGGCTGTGGAAGCTTGATTAGCTCAGTCACATTAGGCTACTGGTCACATGTAGATACTTAAAGCTTTCTTCATTCAATGACTTGAGTATTAATTGCAAATATAAGCGTACTTTCTAACAGAATGTTAGACATACAAGCGTTACATCAGTTTGGATATTTTGAAGTTGAAATGTATGAACACAATCACATTATCACACTGGTTTCCTAACATGGTACTCACTCGGACTTTGTGAATGAACGTGTTGTTCTTGGTAAGATTTCCTGACATAGAATGTACACCTATTTTTGCAGTCTTGTGCCACGATTCTTACCTCGTTTCTCCTCTCAGTTAGGGTTCAATCCTTGAAATTGCATTGTTCATTTTAGTTGTAATATTTGTTATCAGATATGTTTTGAATTTCTAAAGCTTTTGGAGGCAACATATTGAACCCTTCTTGTTTTTCTAATATTGGTATACATGGGCTGTGGAAGTAGATTATACTAATGTGATTGTTTTTGCTAATGTGGTATGTATCCAAATGGTTTTATAGAGCATAGAGATTTTTCATAGCCAATGTTTGATCCAACTACTTCAAGCCCGATCTTTCATCAGAATAACACCTACAGTGTTACAGTGTTTCACTTCCATATTTTGAGAGGGTTACAGGATGTGAGTGTTTGTGAATACTCTCTTGACTCAACTTTTTGGTTGAATACCAGCCAGTGCAGCTTCAACTGATTTTTTATATTTCCCCACAAGTTCTGGCAAGTCATAAGCTATAGCAATATCTAGTCGGTTGATGGGGCATCCCCTGAAGTAGGTGCATGTTGATGAAAGTAGTTGGAAATCATATAGGGGATTCAGTCTGAAAAAGTCCTTGTAGACATCTGGATCAGGTAGATCGTAACGTGAGATGTTGGTCAGTGTGCTCAGACCTTCATAAATGTGATAGTCCTGAGGATGCTCAATGATGTCATCACTAATCTTCTTCTTGTTAGCAAAGAAGGACTTGTGGTTGTAGTAGGTTGTTAGATAGCAGTCGACCATTTTTGCATGATTGCGAACCCGGACCTTAAAAATTGTAAATATGAAGTTTTAGATTCCAAAATATCTAAACGAAAATGTTCACAAACTTTTAAAACATATATAACTTTTATAACAGAAAAAAAAATAAAATATAGACTTCAGGATGACCAGGGAATCAGAATACATATTGATGTTCATTCTTAGGTGAGTTTGCAACTCTATGGAGCACCTGTTAAGTTTGTTGTGTCTGTCCATATGCACCAGACACCTTGAGAACTCTATAATGAATATTCTTGACAGTTTATGTTAGGGTTCTAATAAATTTGTCAGCAGATCCCAGTTTGGGACAAGCCAGGCATCTGCCTTCCACCTGGAATTTTGGAAGTAAATCAAAATTGTGAGGGGGGGGGGAAGAAACACTGGAAATATATTAAACATTAGTTCTATAACTTGAAAACATTTTGTAAAAAGTTATTCTTCTCTCCTGGATACTACAGGGCAGTGAGTAAAAACAGCCTTAAATGGCTTAAATGTAAGTTTGTAAGTAACCCCTCCCCCCAAAGAAGACATCTGGTGGCATCCATACTAAGTGACAAACTCTGTGATGCAGGATCTGCCCTGAGCAGTTGGTTGTTATTCAGCTGTTCAGGAAGATGTTATTTACAAAGTGCAGATGTCAATCACTTCCACCATGAGAGTTCACCATTGAACCAGTCAATCGAGTTTGCGATCTCACAGCCTGTCCTTTCAATCCATTTTGATGTTACAGGCAATTGCACACTTTTGCAGAAAGTGCAATGATCAGAACTGGATTGGAAGGCTGATGGAATTCTCTTTCAGATGTAATGCTTGAGCTCTGTTATTTTCTTCTATATTGATTAAATATATCTGAAATCCCTTTTGTTGAGTTGTTTCTGCTTACATGTCAGTACACTAGTTTATAATAAAGGTAAATTTATTCCTGTCCTTAAGTAATGAATCAACACACCATGAGGACATATTAGAGAATGAATGGAGCCAAATAGTCAGCTTCACACCTCTGCCACTTTTTTTTTTCCTTGGCACTACAGCCCCAGTGGGCCTAGGCCTACCTCCATGAACTTCTCCATTCACTTCGGTTTTTCTAGATCTTACACATTCAGTAGGACTCATTGGGCGGGTAATCAGCTTGTCGCAAGGCCTCTACCTGTACACAAAGACAGAAAAACGCACACACACAAACTAAACATCCATGCCCTGAGTGGGATTCGAACCCATGATCCTGGTTTCCAAGCAAGCGAAGACAGTACATGCCCCTCTGCCACTTTACCCCCAAGGAAATAGCTCCTGGTATCGCAGTACAGCAGGCTGGTTGAACCCCAGATGGTGTGAAGAAGGGACAAATCTCTTGCCTCTGCTGGGAATCAAACCTGAATTCCACAGTTGCCCAGCATGTAGCCTATTTGCCATACTGACTGAATTGTCATAGTGCTGATTTGTGTACTATTCTTCATATGGGTGGCGTTATTTCACTTACTGTCAGGTATGCTTAAGTAAACGTATACTCACAGCAAATCGGCGTGCGCTGGCGATCTTGTTCTCGACCCGCTTGTCAATGGCATCCCTCAGATCCCTTAAGAAGGCTCTCTCCTGAGCGTGTAGTAGACGTGTGGGAGCCCCAGACTCATATGGCAGTGACCAGAGCGATGTCGAATACATAACTGGAGGCTCAGAACTTGACATGAGAGGACTGATGTTCCATATCAGTGTGCCTTGCACTCTCATCAGCTCCTCAGGGCGTACTTGATCAGCTTTGTTGAGAATTATGCGCGTCTGTAAATATGTCAGTTTGCATGACGCTGAGGCATGGATGAGGCAAAATAAGACGGGTGGAGAATGTTGTGTTCCACTTTCTGCTTTAATCCCATAACTCTGTGGCCTGTAGTGCACAAGTGCAATGGATTCCAACGACCATTAATCTCGGTTTTCTAGACTGGAGCCGCTATATCCTTGAAATAGCTTCTCAATTATCCTCATGAGGCTGAGTGGACCCCGTTCCAGACCCAATACTACTCAGAAAATCTGGTAGCTCCGGGAATCGAACCCAGGACCTCTGGATCTGGCACTCTTACCACTAGACCACAGAGGCAGTCATGCTTTCATAAATTTTTCACACATGCATATAGATTGCTGTACAGGCTCATTGTGCCTGTGTACCTGTATCTTTGCGTATGTCTGTAGGCAGCCCTACTGTTCATATTTTCAGTTGTCTGAATGACTGTCGCATGTTTTATCTCTTAGATTTTGATGACATTTTATATGATGAATCTTTTTAAACTAAGCAGCATTGTATGAGCTTGTACTTTGATCCAGACAGAGCAGGCAATTTACTTGACCTAAATTTATCTTCTTAAAAGTATGTTAAATCAACAAGAAATATTGTTGTGCATAATATTGTATAGTCCACAGAAAGTCAACTGACATTTTGGAGGAACATATCACTTAGATCTCAAGGGTCAAAGAATAAGCCAAGTAAGACACCAGCATGAAGCAGGTAGCAAGCCGAATGACATATTCCTCTTAAATGTAGGTTGATATTCAGCAGACTGTATTATGTCTTTGCAACCACTGTTCTGAGAACCTCAAATCCTACAACATACTTTGCAGTTCATTAACCTTAATTGTTTATAAATGGCATTTCAGCAAACCAAAATATATTGGGTAAAAGAAACAAAATTCATATTTCAACAGCAGTGCACAATATTAAATCACAACGAAACTTGCTGAACAGTTTATGGGATATGTGAAAAAATGCATTTATGACCTGATGCAAATACCGTATTTACGCATGTATAGGCCGCACATTTTTTGCCAGAAATTCAAGAGGAAAACTGGGGTGCGGCTTATATTCGAAATATTCGAAATCACACTTCATTTAAAAATATATATTCATAATTAGTAATACAGGGTGTTCTACTCCTGAAATAATATTCCAAGAAAATTATTTTTTCTATAATTTCTGTCTGAAAATTGTGCTGCGGCCTATACACGCACGCGGCCTATACATGCGTAAATACGGTACGCTTTGTAATTCGTCAGGTTGCGTGAAAAACAAAATGACCTACTAACCTTATGCAAATGCTTGTTGTATTGAATGTGGTTTAGAATATTCTTTAAGAAGTTAATTTATAATGTAGAAAGTACAGTTGAGTAAAATAGGTTTTTTAACCTGTTAGTATGGCTGAAAATGAACATCGCTGGCTAACATTATGCAAAGATCTCCCATATTGAATTTAACAAAAATTTAAGTAACAGTATGATGTTCATGAGAAGTACATCCATGATCTGTACAGTAGCCTTTTTTGTCAGTTGATGTGGCTGAAAACTGTGATTGCCTGACTACTTTACTGAAATTTTCCAATGTAGATTTTAAAAGAATCTGATGGTTTAGGAACTGATTCAACATCAGACAGTCATGACCTTTACATAAATGTTGCTTCTTTGTTCTTCGTGAAGAATGTGGTAAAAGTGTAAAGTAAAGGTAAGGTAAAGTTGTCCCTGTGCTTAACTAATTAAGCACTGTGCCATAGTGTGGAGAAAAGAAAAGTCGTACCCCTTCCAGGACTCGAACTCCCACTCCTCAGCCATCCAGCCCATAGCCAGTCACTAAATGAGTATGCTATCCCGGCTTGTGGTAAAAGTATTGCAAGAAAAATAATGTCTTACTAGTGATCATTCTGTACGAATTTGACTGTGTTTATGTCCAAGTAGTGAATTGTAAATGTAGTTCAGCAACAAACCTGGTACTCCCTTCCCTTCAGCTGGTCTAGTATTGCCTCTGTCTCCGGTCCAACGTCCAGCTTGGATGGGTCGTACACCAGGAATATGATATCAGCTCGGTCAATGAACCATTGGCAGGCATCATTGAATGGAAATAGTCGTTCTACTTGCTTACGAATTTCCAGAATTCCAGGAATCTCCACAATATTTACCTTATTGGAATTGTGAGAAACAGACGTTACAATGTAACAGAATGTTACAATATTAACATTTTTTTAAATATCTATGTTTGAAAACTGATCATCTGAAATGTAGGTTTGGAAACCAAATCTGTATAAAAATACTTATAGTGTATTTCTGGTGCAAAACATTTAATTTAAAAATGGAACTGAGCAAGTTGGCTGAAGTGGTAATGCTTCTGATACGTATTCAGTTGGTGTCTGGTTCAAATCTTGGTTGGGACACAAACTCTTCCCATTGAGATTTTTCATGTTTTTCCTCAATCCTTCCAGGCAAATGCTGGGATGGATAATAAATCAAATTATGCCATGACCACTTCCTTCAGTAGTTTGCTATTCATTTTCATTGGTGATCTTCGATTTCAGTGTAATGTAGCATCGCATATTGGCAGCGTCTATATGATATAAAACGGCTCGCTATGTTTGCACTGCTTGCTAGTTGCAGTGGGAATGATAATGGAGTCACAACTTGACAGCTGTATTGTGAGAGCTGCTTACAGATGAAACAAAACAAATTACTACAGAGAACATACATGAATGCAGCTCAGGAGTGGTGTTTGCATCAGTAGGCATAAAGATTAAATTGTAATCTGGCAATGGTCAGTACTGTTTCTGGATTTATCATCTGGTCTCACCACTGTATAAAAATGAGAAAAACAAGCCAGGATATGGACAACCTTATATTTCTGATTCTGCTGAAGCAACAACAAAAGATGCTTGAGAAATGATCAAATCAAAGGGGTAAGGCCAAAGTAATGCAGTGGTTGAACAAGATGCTGCAGCAGGTTAACCCATTTGCAGAGTCATATAAATGAATGCATGACATGAAATATATATGAATAAATAAATTGAACACATTTATGTTTAATTAAGAACCTTTGAAATTTGCTGAGTGCAGCTAGTTGTTAAATCAAAGATTAATAAATGCGTTTAAAATGCAGCTATACGGTTATCTGAAGAATTGTGCCGTCAGACACTCAGTGGCTTTATACATACAACGTTATGGAGAGAGAATAAGTCAGAGAAGCTTTTAAAATGTGTTTAGAAAAATGTACAACTGTGGAATGCTTTGGCTCCTTCAGGTTGTAAGATATACACTGCAGTCGATGTGTGTTAACTGGGAGCCGTAGCAGTCTGTCAACAGGTTCGTTTGTACACATATATTGCTCAGTGATGCTGTGGTAGCCTGAGAGGCGTGATGAAGGAAAGAGAACTTGAATGGAGATTGGCTGAACTCTACATTTCAAACTGATTTAGTCAGTGAAATGAGGTGTTATAATGCCACAATTTTATATGGGACATCATGTGTTTATTTGCGTACACTCGTGGATATATACTGCGGTGTTTCCCAATTTAATTTAATCAGGGTTCCCTTTCATACTCAAGAAACTTTTTGGAACCCAAATAAAATTCTTATATATGAACCAAAAACTAGTCCGTAAGTAAATTAGGATAATAATAAATATATATGTTAAACAAGGATATGAGATCAACATATTATTCAATTGCACATGCTTTGAAATATATATCACATTTCATATATATGAAAAATGAAGCTTAAAAACTAATGTTTTCAGCATAAAGAGTGATTTTTTTTCCTTCATAAAATCTCTTTATGTTTGAATTGATATTAAAAAGTTTGAGTCCAGCTTGGTACAAGTATGTACTGGAGAAGAGCATCGGCCGAGTACTGCATGTCTTGATAAAGATTTTTCCTCTGATGCAAAAAGAGCTTTGTTTTTTTTTTAATTTATGAATTTGAAAGTGATATTTCTTAATCTAAAGATGCTCCAAAATGAAAATTATTTTAAATGTAGTAGTTAACAGAAATATAGTATTTAAATTATATATGCTTGAATTTTAATGGAATTTTTGTGCAAATGATGCTAGAAATACCACAGTAGCTAGTCATTATCATACCATTGATGCAAGAGCAAGGTTTCTTACCATTCTAACATTTCTTTGATGGGACTGAGGAAAATCATGAAGATTTCACTCATGATTGACAGTTGGTGACCAACTGAATGCAAGTCTGATTTCCTGTTAATTTTACCTTATTATACATTGTTAATTGAGGTGTCCTGGTTTCTGAGTTGACTTCTTCAAGTCAAATAATTTTACCATTTTATGTTGCATAATTAAGCAAGTGATGCCTTGTTTTGTTGTACTTTTCAAAGATTATTAGACATATTACCTTTTCAAGCAGTGGGTTTGGTAGTCTAAGACCTCTCAGTCTGTCCAGCATTCCTTGACCAAACTTCTGTAGTCCTGAAAAAGTCCAGTCAGCAGCTAGTTGGGTCCCGTCCAGTACCTCTACTTGGTCTCCCCACATCAGGATGTTGAAGTAGGCAGGAGATGGTTCAGCACCTTCACAAATGCCAGAGTTCTTGTTTTGTGCAGGCATAACTCTTTCGTAGTTTTGAGTGAGTTATTAGTTCAAAGACTGGTTAATACAGGGAGGGAGGCTCTTATGTCAGTCTTGATTGAACATTGTTTGTACATGTTGGGCTTCCTCTGGTTGTTTTTCTTTGTTTTTAAATGTTATGTTGGGAAACAAACATTTCATTATCTAAGACTATGTAGTTTGGTGTATTCCTGATTATCCGTGTTAATGAAAATGTAAAGAGTTATGAATAATTGAAAAGTACAGATAGTTCAAGTTTCTGCCATGATAGGCCATGGTGATTTTTTAATATTGAAACTTAGAAATACATGCATAGCATCCAGTTTGTTTATTTATTTCAAGAGCCATAACTATAGTGGACACAAAATGTTTCATATTCATATCCTGTGTAAATAATGGATACGTGTACTGTCCAGCATGGTGTATACCACCTTTGAGATCCTAAACTAGGTTTTATTGTGTTTGTGTATGAGCATGCTGTCATGTGTTTACCATATGCTGTGCACACTGACAGCCTTGTTACCTGTTTGAAAACGTTTTCTGTAAATGAAGGAATATGACATTTCAACATTTCATTAGCAATACGGCATATTATAATAATGCTGTGTTGTCCTAGTGCCTCTTGAGTCAAATTTGTATTTGGGACACTCTAAACCTCTCCTTGCAACAGGGTATTTTCCCCCACAAGTGTTTAATAGAGTTACTTTCAAGATGGGGGGGTACTTTTGTTTTACAGATAGAAACAGGATTGGAAATTTAATGTTCATTGTGGTGTGTGAAAATGGTCTTTATAAAAGGTAATCATTATTTATATCAACTATAATGCATCTCACCTGTGCGTAGCGCTGTTGATGTGTATTCATTGTCGAGCAGGTAGTTGATTATCGTAGACTTACCACCACTCCAGGGACCCATGAAGAGGATAAGTGGTTTTGAAAATATTTCAGGATCTTAAAAAAATGAAACAGACAGACAGTTGTGTTCTCACCTTTTAAATATCAAAGCATAGCCATGCTCCACATGTATTTTTAATAAAATAATAATAATTCTTAATTCAGGAGTATATAATGTTTCATTCATGTAGTTGAGTAATATAATGCTTTTAAACATCTGACATTAACATACCTCCAAAATGTCTGTTGCTTAGTTCTCGGTATTTGTAGAGCATCTCTAAAGGCTTGATAGCATTGTCATACAGTCTCTTGAGTTCTTTGAGTGTTATATCCGCAGTTTTCGACAAAATCAGTTCTTTCTCAAGTGACTCTGAATCAAGTCGCAGTATCTGGGCAACATGGTCCCGCGGCCGGAGATTTTCTGGAATTTCCACCTCCTGAAGTATCATTACCAGAAATATTGAACAGCTCTGAACAGTAATAGTGCCAGTTATTTATTGTAAGATTTTAAGTAACTGTTTTCTGAAATATAACTTCTTTGTAATGTGTCTGATACTAATACTTCTACACATTCTTTTCTTGTTTTATATATATGAAAGAGTCATGCTTTATATTAAATTTCAAAATTTGATTTAATTTTACTGAGAATTTGAAAAAAATAGGCTTGTCTTTTTCATTCTTTCACTGGGTTAATTTAGCACAGTGACATAAATTTTGATGCCTGAAAATACAGACTATGAACTTTACTTTCTTAGCCTTTTGCAGTAGTTTTAAGAGTATGAAAAATCTAAAAGTAAAAGTCATCAGTGGCACCACATACCCGATCGTGTATGTCAAGTGCTGTACAGGCATTACCTCTGTAGCAGAACATTTTATTTTGGGCTGTAACTAATGAGCTTTCCAACATTATGAGCCAAGAGATAGTACGTTTTCAGTATGTGTCTTCCATTTTTACTGCGTAGTTATGCTACAGTATTTTACAAAACTTAGCATAAGGTGAAAATATCCATTTTGATTCATAATGGTCTGCTTTCTGCTTTAAGGCTGTAGTTTAATTTTTCTTGTGCTTTATTAATGGAACAGATAATTAAAAATTGGTGTGTCTCTTGCCTTGTCTTGTACGTAACTTCAGCACACTGCAGATATATTTGTATTTTTTGCAACTCACCAGAGTTAGTTCCTCTTCTTCGGGTATTGAGTCTGCAGGAGCAGGTGCTTCACCTATGGATGTATAAAGCAGTTTTATTTAGCTACAGAAACTGACGGAAGTTTGTTTAATGGTGCTGTCAATAACTTAGACTTCATAGCGTTAATTGATTTGGTGATACTGAATAATGAGTTAGACAAGTTTGGAAGGAAGCAGTTGTGGACTAGTTGAAAGTACTGATACAGTTGAGCAAAACTATGAAAACCTTGTGACATTTTGTGTCTCGGTTGAGATTCAAACTGGGCATCCCCCATGTACAAGTCAGATATTACTGCTTGAGGCAAGGTGCTTAGTAATAGAAGTTTAACATTAGCTTCATATTGTATATGATTTGATTGAATTGACAGTTGGGTAACCTGACATAGACAAGCCAGACTGAGTGCACATTTTCTGTTCACTTCCTTGTGGGTCAGAAGGTTTTGTTATTTTAGTTAATTACTGCTATTTGGAAATTTGTTCTCATGCTGTTGAGTATTAACTTTATGGTCTTCTTGGATGTGACACAGTAGAGACTGCTAGATAGGCATTAATTGTTCAGCAGAAGGTACTGTTTCCACCTATCCTGAAGATGCAGGCTGTGTATTGCTCTGAAACATTTATACCTGTCTGTTAAACTATACAGCGTTACATCCCAGATGACTGCTGATGTCATTGTCATCATTATCGTTGATGTCATCATTTTAGACACAGTCTGTCAAATTTAAAACTGGAATGTTTGTTATTCCATTTGTACAACATTTATAGGATTTTGTGTTCTGTGCATACAGTTAAGCGGATTTGTTCTGTGTGTATACTTACTTACCGTATTTACGCATGTATAGGCCGCGTGCGTGTATAGGCCGCAGCACAATTTTCAGACAGAAATTATAGAAAAAATAATTTTCTTGGAATATTATTTCAGGAGTATTACACCCTGTATTACTAATTATGAATATAATTTTTTTAAATGAAGTGTGATTTCGAATATTTCGAATATAAGCCGCACCCCAGTTTTCCTCTTGAATTTTTGGCAAAAAATGTGCGGCCTATACATGCGTAAATACGGTACTTACTAATGGAGCTGAGCCCTTCTTGAGGAGCCGCCAATTCTGCAGCTACTCAAGAATTTCCCAGCATTTTATGGAACCCGAAGGTTCACTACTGTGTTCACAAGAGCCCTCCACTGGTCCCTATCCTGAGCCAGATTTATCCAAGCCATACCATCCCATCCTATCTCTCTAAAATCCATTCGAATATTGTCCACCCACCTATGCCTTGGTCTTCTCTGTGGTCTCTTTCCTTCTGGCTTTCCCACCAATATCCTATATGCATTCCTCGTCTCCCCCATTCGTGCTACATGACCTGCCCACCTCATCCTCCTTGACTTGATCGCTCTAATTATACTTGAAGAGTACAAGTTATGAAGCTCCTCATTATGCAGTTTTCTCCAACCTCCTGTGATTTCAACTCTCTTCGGTCCAAATATTCTCCTCAACGCCCTGTTCGCAAACACCCTCAGTCTATGTTCCTCCCTTAATGTCAGAGACCAAGTTTCACACCCATACAGAACCACAGGCAAAATTATAGTGTGTGTGTTCTGTGTGTATACACATACGTTAAATAAGTGTTACATGCATGGTGTAGAAAATATAAGTTTACTGTCTTTGGCGTGTGATTATTTTTTAAATGTCTTATACATTGCTATGGATCTGCATTTTTTTGTAGTTTAAATTTGATTTAATTTTTGTCATATTTTTACTCAGTCTGAACAATTTTATTAAAGTCGGACTGTACACTGTTCGCCATCTTTGTTTTTTGAATATGAATTGTAGAGATAGAATTTATTTTGCTTGTGAAGGTATGAAAACATCAAAATTCTGAACTTGCACTAATAGTAGGATCATTATTACAATACAGAACCATGAATGATGGGTCAACACATGTGCTTGAAAGGTAGGCACAGGAGTGAGAGAGTGCAAGCTGAGACTGAATTGGGTAGACCGCCAGCATGATTACATCAATGCACCTTAACCCCTAATTAGTTCTGGCTCAGGCCTCACCGTCAGTGGGCATGGTATCAAGACTGAAACTTTTAATATAACCAGGCTTCACCTTTACCCGAAAATATTTTCAAATTTCTCGTGTACATAATGCACAGCTCTTACTTCGGCTTAAGTTTAACTGGAAATGTTACCCTGTTTATTTCATTATGAATGGTTTATTTAATGATTTGTCGTGTACATAATGCATAGTTCTTACCTCGGCTTAAGTTTAACTGGATATGTTACCCTGCTTATTTCATTAGACTTTTTTAAATTCAGCAAAGGAATTTGTTAAGTGTTGGCTGAAAACCGTGGAGAACCCGCTCCATTGAATATAGCCCAGGCCTAGATACCACATTAGAATCTGAATCTTATCTTCGTTACGTACAAACTTGGGGTGTGACATGAGTTTGAAAACTTACCTTCAGCCGAAGTTTCGTCAGATTCATTGCTTGCTTCTGCAGATGCCTCTGCACTCTCTCCAGCCGTTGATTCTGTTGCGGTTTCTTCAGAACTCTTGCTTTCATCTGACTCAGCAGCTGGCGTTTCACCACTCTGTTTGGCGCTTGCTTGTTGTTCTTCAGTAGATGGCTCTTCATCACTTACACCACCCTTCTCTTCATCACTGGCTGCCACTTTTCCTTCAGCACTCCGCTGTCTTTCCTCGACGGTGGTGGCATCTCTTTCCTCAGAACTCGATCCTCCAGTTGCGTCCTCGACACTAGCACTGTCTTCAGCACTAGGAGCATCGCCAGCTGCACCGCCCTCTTCAGCACTTTCATCAGCATCTTTAGAAGTAGAAGCATCTTCTTTACTGTCTCCTTCAGAACTAGCAGCTTCTTCAGCACCGGTAGGTGTACCTTCCGCACTTGGAACACCTTCTTCAACGCTGGTTATTTCTCCTTCTTCACTACTAACAGCATCTTCACCACTCTTTGAAGCGTCTTCATCACTTTCTGCGCCTTTTTCGGCACTTGAAACTCCTTCACTCTCATGACTTGTTCCAGTCTCTTCGGTTCTTATATCTTCTGTGGTGGCTGTAGAGTCTTCCTTACTTGCTCCTTCCGCTGCGTTTGCGCCACCTTCTACTGCAGCACTGTCTTCCTCACTTGACTCTTCTTCTGTACTTCCTCCTTCGGAGCTTTCTTCATCTTTAGCTGCAGCGCTTTCTTCTGCACTTACTTCTGCCTCGGCACTTGCACCTTCAGTTGCACTACTCTCTTCTGCATTGGTAGTTTTTTCGGCACTTGCTTCCTCACCTGTAGCTCCTTCCTCACTACTTCCTCCTTCCTCTTCAGCATAGGCTTCTTCGGTACTTCGTTTTTCACGAATCTCTTCACGGCTTTCCTCGGCACTTTCACCACTGGCTTCTTCGGTACTAGCGGAATCTTCGTCGCCACCTGGAGCTCTTCCTGCCTCAATTTCCTCAGCACTGCGTTCTTCTGTGGTATCCTCCTGTGACTCTGCGTTAGTTCCATCGTCCGGTAGGGTCTGCGCGTCCCCTGGGGTTCCCTCTGCGCTTGCTTGTTCTCCCTCCTCGCTACTTGCTTCTTCGTCACTTGCTGTAGTGTCCTCTGCACTAGTCTTCGCGTCTTCAGCAGAAGCGGCCTCTGCCTCTGCAGACGTTTCGTCTATCGAAGATTGGTCGCCCTGTCATAAAATAGAACATACACGGATCTTAATATTGATGACGTTGATCGATATGTCAATTAACAACGAGACGACATCTGTAAAATGCAAGGAGTGAAAAGTTCTGTCTTGGGTAAAAGCTGTATGGTCCGTTGAAAGTCAACCGATGTTTCGGAGGAAATGTCTCCAGGGCTGAAAATTGATCCAAGCAAGGAGCGAGCCTAAAGGAGGTAGCAGGCAGAACTCATCCTAAGCACCGCAATCCTAGATAATGCAAGAAACATGTTAAAAACAAAAACTCCACGGCCTGTAGTCCTCAAGCGAACTATACCGACCGAGCGATCGCCGCTTATCGGCGAAGTTAGTGCCAACTTTAGCGGCTAGAGGGTGTCGCGTGATCAGCGCAACGGATCCTCACGGCCGTCAATCTCAGTTTTCTAGACCGGATCCGTTATTTCCTTGAAATAGCTCCTCAATTATCACCCGGACCTCTGGATCTATATAGCCAGGAACTCTGTCCACCAGACCACAAGTGTTCGCTGTATTTCAAGCGATGCTGTACTTGTTACGGGAATGTAAACCATAGGGTACGCCTGAATAGTTTCGCCTTGAAACAAATTTATATACGTTCGCATGATACTCGCTGTTACGATATGTGTCTGTTGAAATGGCATGCCTGTATCGATAGGATCGCATGGTTGCGAACTCAGAACTGCGGTAGCCCAGTATAGTCTTCCGATTTTTAAGCCTGCTTTTGTTATAACTGTTTCTTTAACATTTTTCTGTAGTTGTAATGTTGTACAGCTGCAAGAACAGAGTGACGAGACTCAAGGAATGATGTTACACTTGAAATACTAATAACTGGTGTAATAGAACCGGGATAACTCAATGGGTATAGCTTACAGGGGCATGAGCCGGATAGTTTCTGGCAGCGGTAAGATATATTTCGCTCTTCGCGCTTCCAGGGACCCACCCAGTGGATACCGGAGGCGGTTTCTACGGGGAGAACGCAGCAGGGGCGTGCAACTGACTACTTACTCCGTCTAGTACCTGGGTTAACGGTGGAACAATACCTTCACTCCTTTTGTAGCGTGGTGATTAATTAAGCACGGGAATATTTTTTTAATAATTGATCTAGTATACAGGGTGTATCACAACTCAACGGCAAAACTTCAGAAACGGACTTCTCATATAGAGAGAAGAAAAAAGGTTTATGACAACACGGGGTAGTAATTGTGTCTGCACGGCACTGAAAAGAATTGGTGACATAAGTGCTTTCTATCGGTGGGTCGGCCTTTCACTGTGAGGACAGCTCTATGATTATCACGACGTCACATATGATTACTTCGTGATAAATTTTCCTCTGCCAATTCTTTTCAGTGGCGTGCAAACACAATCACTACTCTGTAATTATATGCATTTCCGGACCCATGTTGTCATAAACCTTTTTTCTTCTCTCTATATGAGGACTCCGTTCCTGAAGTTTTGCCGTTGAATTGTGATACACTCTGTATTTTATATTTCTGCAGGCGTTGTCTATACATTCAGTGATTGAAATATTTATTTTTATCGAGACAGTTGAAGTAGAGCTTTCCAAAGAATATTTTCTGTGTGATCAAGCCGTTTGTATGTCATGTTGAATCAGATTGTGGTTAGTTTGCCAGACGTAATCATTGCCGCCCGGATCAACTCTAGCCGTTGAGGCTGACATTCCATTGCAGTACCTGCTCATCGGATGTTGCCAGCTCTGCCCCTCCAGGCTGTTCCCCGCTGTCCTCCTCACTCGTTTCTGCAAAAGTGGAAAAGCACATGATCTCATTACCCAGTCATTTTACTGTATGTCTCGCTTAACGAAAACATATTGGTTGGGTTGGAGGCCTTCTCAGCGGTAACTGTGAAGGGTGCCGTGTTCTGGAACGTGAACTCATGTACGTAGTCCGGTAGAAATTCACAGGCGTGCCGGAGGAATGCTGCCTCCATCTGCAGGGCCGAAGAGTATGTTTTCTGCTCGTTCTCTCTGTGCTTCTGTACATCTGATCCGTATAATATGGTAGGACTTTATCGACGTTTCGGTTGAATACTGCCATCATCTTCAGGGTCGAAGAGTAAGTTTGCTGCTGTTGGTTGTCTCTGGGCTTCTGTACAGGCCTATATCTGATCCGTATAATATGGTAGGACTTTATCGACGTTTCGGCTGAATACTGCCATCTTCTGGGTCGAAGAGTAAGTTTGCTGCTGTTGGTTGTCTCTGGGCTTCTGTCTGATCCGTATAATACGGTAGGACTTTATCGACGTTTCGGCTGAACACTACCATCATCTTCAGGGTCGAAGGGTAAGTTTGCTGCTGTTGGTTGTCTCAGGGCTTCTGTACAGGCCTATATCTGAATGACGCTTTGCAGGCGCGGCTGCCTCTGCATGCTTAGCTTACTCTTCCACCTTGAAGATGGAGGCAGTATGTTCCTCCTAAATGTCGCAGAACGTCTACCGGACTACACGGCGTCACATTTCAGAACACAGTAATCTTCATAGTGCTTCTGTTCTGATAGCGTTAAGCGCATATGGTGAAATTAAAGTGACTATATAAAATAGGGGAAGGAAAAATACGGTCCCATAATCTCATGCATAGTAGGAGAGTACTGTGCTAGAAGGAAACAGATTACAGATCAGAGTGGATCCCTCTGTAGAGAACTGTTAGAACTAACCGCAACTAACTGGCAAAGGAAGACCCACATTAAATTACAAGCATAGTTTAATAGAAAGAGTAATTGATGGGGGTAGCATATTCCTCCGAGACGTTGGCGCCAACCCACAGTACGCAGGGTCACAACTTAGGAAACCAGAGTTCATAACCAAGCAAGCTGGTGTGCGACTTGACTTCACGAGGTGCCCGGTGTGAATTTCGGCCGGAACGCTCGCTATTTTGGCTGAATTTTAGGGGTGGGTGGGTATTTTTCCTCAGCTCGTCCAGAAAAAAATATTGGGGTAGTACTCGATTAGGCCACGACCACTTCTAGATCATTTTCAGTTCGTTTTTAGCCAGTCATACTACCAATCGGCGCCATACTGACAGCGCCGTAAAACCAACCACAAAAATTAGTCACAATGAGCATTTTTGGTATTACTAAATGACATTTTAAGCAGATTGTATAGGTTATGGGCCTCGAATGAGAGGCTCATTAGCAGTTATCCTCATTATCTCTGAGACAGCGTTGTGATGGTGAAAAAGTCAATCTCGAGATTTAGGTTGATTTCCGCATGTTCAGTCCCTCCCCGAAAAGGAAAAAGTGTTCTGTGGAATGCTCTATGGATGTGCCCTTTACATAAGCTCTAAAAGGTTTCACGATTTTTGTTTATATTCGATATTTAAAATTTGCCCCTAGCTCCAAAAATAGGTGCTCTTGAGATGGGCCCCTGAACACAAAATCGTGATTTTCTCGAAAACGGTTCCAACGACTTTGGTTGAATATATGCGACTTACAGAGATCATGTCCCCACACAGAAGTCGATAGGTGGTCTCTTCATGAAAATAGCGGTAGGCCCTCTAGCGGTTCAAAGGTGCGTATAGAAATATTTACAAAATTTTTGCGCCGATGTTTTGAAATTGATAAATAAGATTTTAATTATTATTTATAGATTATGGGCTTCGGGAAACGTTTTATAATTTTCTCAATCTCGTGTTAAGTCGACTGCGAGCCTCAAATAGTTTCATTTCCATTGAGGGAGCCTCACATGAAGAGAGTTTGGATGAGCTTACCTGGTGGCGCGTCAGAGGTTCCGAGCTGTTTCAGAGCCTTCTCAATGTAAGGCCGACACTCGGACTCTGATGGAACTGGCTGATCATCTTGAGCTGCTGAAACACACGAAACGTCAAGCGTGAATGGTACAGACATTTGGTAAGGGGTCCAGTCGCTAGGACGGCCGAAACATTTTGCCTCTCTTCTAATTTCCAACTCCTCCTCCTTGAGTCGCTTTTCCAGTTCTGGTAGTTTCACACTGTCGCGACCCAGATCCGTGCAGGTTAAGATGATAGAGATGAAAGGGCAAAGTTTTCCATGTAAATATATTGTAGCGTGTAGACCCGTTACTGGGTAACAGTCGCGAAACACACAACCATACATCCGCTGCTAGGCAACAGATTCTTAATAAGCAAATATACGCAGCTGTTACTGAGTAACGCCTTCGCAAACATGTTCCCACGGCAACGAATCCACACGCAACAATAGAGGAACTGCTGGAAACGGTGTTTTTTACGTGGTCCGTGCCAAAGGGTCGTCAGTGGGACAGGTTTAGAGTTTAGTGAAGATGTAAGGGAGTCTGTGAAGAGAAGACTTAGTCGGAGCAATTGAGACCAGTGGGTAACGAAGCGAGCGCGGAAGCTAAAGAATCTCCACTGTTAGAAGCCATTACCAGGGAACGACTGGTGAAGACACTGGAGGCTGAAAAGACTTAGGGGTTGCTATAGTGATTTGTAAAGCGATGGCAGTAGTCACGAGTCGTGTGTTAAAGTATGCAGTAAATCCAGTTACCAATCCAAACCCCGTCTGTAACTCTTTCACGTGACAGTATTAAGTACCGCGCCATGAATTATGGAGGGTGCCCAATTTTTTAGATTAGCCCAACTGAATAGGTGCCTCCCTACCGTTTGCACCTGAGGACGGAAATACATCCCACTTTCGAAGCATTCGGTTCGGAATCTTCTAGGAAAGAAACCAGAACCCCAGTAATGCCGTGGCGCTAGCTTCAAGTAATAACTCCTCCGCAGTCCCTCTCATCCTTCTTGACTTGACCATTCTGAGTATACAGGGTAATTCGTCTCTCTTTGGAAACCCGACAATAATTTAGAATCACTCTGTACATCAAATAACATGGCTACGAGGGTACCGTGATTCTAAATTATTGTCTGGGTTTCCGGAGAGAAATATGAATTATCCCGTATTTGTCGAGAAGTACAAGCTATGAAACTTTGCTTTATTGATTTTACAGGTTTTCCTGGTTTTTCTTCTTAATGTATAGAAACAGCACAGGGGCTTCTGCCAACAGCGTCGGTCCATGGTCAGTTATTTCCCACGCTCCCCGGATAAGCGGGATTAATTATATTAGTCTATCGTAATGAAGCAGGTGGGCTAAATTTCCCCTCATTCTGTGTGGGGTGTCTTCAGGCTCCGTTTATTCCGGCAGCCCCGCTGATTATTTTTTTTTCGGCAATACAGCCCCAGTGGGCCTAGGCCTACCACCACGAACTTCTCCGATCACCTCGGTTTTTTTAGATCTTACACATTCGGTAGGACTCTTTGGGCGGGTGATCATCTCATCGCAAGGCCTCTACCTGTACACAAACACAGAAAAACGCACACAAACTAAACATCCATGCCATGAGTGGGATTGGAACCCACGATCCCAGTTTCCAAGCGAGCGAAGACATTACATGCCTTAGACCGCTCAGCTACCGTGACCGGCCCCGCTGAGAATAGCCTGCAAGATATGACGGTCGAGACAGCATGAGCTGTCTGCAGTCTGATAAGAATAACAGCAGTAGACTTCATGACACAACTGTAGCGTATAATCAGCTGTGTGTGTGTGTGTGTGTGTGTATATTTATATATATATATATACATACACATGCACTTGCTTACGGGATGCGACAGCACCATCTTTATTTATAATGGTGCATCCTGCTAGTGTATATTTACAGTGAATACAGCACAGGCAGTCCCCACTCTTAGGATATTAAAGTTCCTGGAACCGGTCACGGANAAGACTGCTTTCTTCATAGTCACCGCCGTGAAAGCCTCAAATCTTACAAAACTGTGACAGTTTACCCCCTCCCTTTCCTTCCCCATACACGCGCAGATAAAGCGGCAGGCTTCATGCCACAATCACGGTCTTCCAGCCTATAATGTTGAGTCACACACGTCACGTGCTACGGTCCTGCAGGCGGAACTGACGGACTGACGGGTTTCCCACAGGCCAACAGTCCAAACGATTGGCCGGCCGGCCGCACCACACACGTCAGTTTTGCCTTTCAGTCTTCAACTGTGCAGGCCGAACTGGAGGCCAAACTGTGTGTGTATGGGGGCCCTAAGGCATGAACTGTTTTCTCTCACTCGGAAGCCGGGATAGTGGGTTCGAATCCCACACAAAGCATGGATTTTTGGTATGTGTTTAATCTGTTTTTGTGTTGTACTGTGTTTAGGTAAAGGCCTTGGGACGAGGTGATAGCTCGTTCAAGGAGTCCTACCGTCTGTAAAATGATCAAATTGAAAAAAAAAACATCGACACCGTTAAGTAAGAAAGTAAGTTCCTGGAGAGAGTCGGTAAAACGAAAGTTCGTAAAGTGAATTGCTATTTCCTATAGACGCGATGTTGTAATTTGCCATCCCGAACTACCAAAAATTACAAGAAAATGCAAGCCATCAATTGTTTTTTTTTTCCTGAAACGAAATATAAAGCACCGGAAATAGATTGGGTTATTCTGTAACCACCAGAGACCAAGTTTTATTATAAAGGTACCAGTAAATTTGTTAAAATGCTAACAGAACAACAAAATATTACACAAGATTCACACCAAGGGAAATTGACTACGCGAAGTTTCGTTCTGTTGTTTCCGTTTTAGTTCGCAAGCGTTCGTTTTTATTCGGAAGGGACTCATGATGGATGAGTTTGCGTTCTGACGACAAGCCAAATTGAGGATATGCATTTCGTTATAAACCTTGACACGAGTGATTTTTCGTGATGCGAATTTTCATAAGCGGAAGAAGGTTTGTATGCGGTCTCGGAAGCTGTACAGTTACATTTGTACGAAAACTAAAGCAGGGTGCTTTGCAGTTATGCAGATGGTCACTATGTGACTGCAGCATGTCGTGGTCACTCCGTCTGTACAAATAAAGCCCTTTGGGGCGGTATGCAGTAACCATCACCTTCATTTCCAGTTACTTCCCAGTTGAGTAATGTGAATGCCCCGCTTATTTCATTTCTCAAGTCCAAACATTTTTCAGAGTTCTTTATTTTAGAAGGATTTTAATTTATTTTGTGCTTGGGCTTCTCGCAGCGAGGCCTATGAGTAGTATTGTCTTATACTTCAAGCCTGAGGATGAAGACAACTACCCTTCGAAACATGGGTGGTCTACTACCGTACTACACGGTCTTGCATCTCAGAAGAGTGTTCTCAACCGACTACGCGGTAGCGTAGTCGGTTGAGGCACTATGCTACAAGCTGGAAGGTCGCGAGTTCGAGTCTCGATGAGGTGAATTTTTTTCAATTGTCCTAACCCTTCCAGCCGCACTATGGCCATGGGGTCGACCAGCCTCTAACAGAAATGAGTACCAGGAACCTTCCTGGAGGGTAAAGGGCGGCTGGCCGGCGCGTAAAGCTGAAAACCTTACCGCTATCTGTGAGCCGATTATCTAGAAAATGTGGGGGCCTCGACGGCCTGTTATAGGCATAGCTTTACCTTTTTTGCGTCAGATGAGTATATGTACATCACTAGACAAGGAGCTAAAATAAAATAATGAAGATATGATCATTTAAACATCTGCATTTAAAATGCGAAGATTGTGTGTCGGCCTCCCATTATAGTAAGGAGCGGCCGGTGCACTGACGGTACATTATACTTACCGTGTGCCCCGTACCCGCACAGAAAGAATTTGATTTTGACAAACTGTGGAAAATGTGTAGCTCTGAGTTAAGTTCGTACACAGGAATATAGTGACCAGTTCTGTTACTTCTTGCGTAATTGTGTGGATTTGTACATTTAAACAAGTGGAATTTGTGGGAAGTGTGTCCCACATCCAAGGAGGGAGAAGGAGACCAGGCCACTTTACAAATTAAAATTATTTTTAGTCGCGTGTGCCTATCCTTTGCGCCAATAGGTATGCATTGTCTGGAAAATGTTAAATATAATCTGAAAGGTTTGCGCATGTGCTATAGCTATCCATCACAACGCTACCCGTACAATTTATAGATCTATTTATAAACTGTCGTTGTGCCAAATTTAACAAATTTAGACACGGTGGTTTATCATTTATAACGTAAAAAAGAAACGGGCCCACCCGTAGAGTGACTGGTAACGCCTTCAGTTCGTACACAATGGTTGTTACGTCAAGCACCGCTTAGTAAGGCACACTTACGGGTGTTAGGATAAACAGCAAATTCTTACAAAACGCTGGTTCCCAGAGTTTCAGATTGCGTGACCACTGAAGCGTTTATATCATCACCATGATCGGACTGAAAGGGATTAGATTGGGGCAGTATGTAGCACGCATGTGAGAGATAATAAGTAAATACAGATTAGGCCAGAAAACCGGTTTGAAGACGTAATTATATATGGGAGGTTTATATTAAAATGATCTTTATTTTATTTAGGACGCGGGGAATTTCATTCAATGTAGGGACTGGGCTAAAGGCTGGATGACCAGGGAATCTTGTTCGGTTCCATAGAGTCTAGATCGGCTCTGGGTTCCACCCAGTCTGCTATCCATTCGTTACCGAGGGTTGATCCTCGGGTTAAAGAGGTCAGGACGTGAAGCTGATCACTCTGCCTCCATATTGCACACTCACGACAATCTAATACTGAAGCTTAGAAGGCATGGTGTTAAATCTTCACTCCAACATATGACTTCATGGCGTCCTCCTTGATTAAGGACAGGGCAACTTAACCCTTTGAACCTTTTTATTTATGGTTCATTGCACGACGCTGCCAGTAACTGAGTCCTGTATAACGTCGAAATTTGGATTTTAAAGAATTTAACCTTGGAAGGAATAGAGTGGATTAATTTGGCTAAGGTTATTGGTCAGTGGTGGGGCGTTGAGGGCACAGTGATGAACTTTCGGGGTACACAAAATGATGATTA